ARWARMAWRTACTTTGCCGTGGCGACATGACCTTGTTCAGTCTTGATCGTCCACTTGCTCGTGGATTTGTCCCACGTCGCATCGTTTACTCTCGCGTTGAAGTAGGTGTCATTGCGTAGGTTGAGCACTTTGTCGATATGGGCCATGTATCTGCGCAGCTCTTCGTGTCCCGGAAAGCGTTCCGAGAAGTTCCAGGACTCGTAGACCTCTGGAATGTTGAGTTGATAGAAGGGCGACTCGGAATCGACTCGAGCTCCTGGGTATCTAAAGGCGTGTCAGACGCTGCTAGCAAGCTACATCAATAAATCCGGCCTACCTACCTATTCCAATACCAAACACCACCAAAGTCGGCMCCAGACTCGAAGCATTTGACGTTCATGTTCAACTTTCGAAGCCTGTCGATGGCCGTGATTCCGCTGAAACCGGCACCGATGACGATCACATCGCACTGAATGTCATCGATTCCCGTGTCTTTTGAAGGTGCTGTGAACTCTTCGGTCTTTGTGGCCACTCCATCAGTCTCGGTGGCTCCCACGACGGGAATCTCATCGTGTAGGAATGGCTTAGCATCATCTGCCATGATTTCTTCTTTAGTCATGGTGGGGAAGTGAATGATGAAGCAGAGAGTACAAGTATGTAGAGCAAGAAAAGACCAAAGAGAAATGAGGCCAAGTTAATAAACCTCCGAGGGCCTGATGTTGGCCTATTAGTAGCTATCTCACTTAGCCTGAACCGACAGGATCGATCCCTCGGCTACCGCTTCGCAGCTGCTGGAGTGTGGCGTGGCGTGGGTGAGATGTACAGACTGTTAGTTGAAGGAACGATGGATTCTCCACCGAGTCGCATCGCCTCAAGGGTGGTCAGATCGGGCCTGCATTCGACCGACACACACTTCACACCTGTCCACATGCCGCTTGAAGCGGTAATCCGAAAGGCGTGGCAGCCCCGCATTGATGGAGCGAGGGTAAGTACGTGGTGGGGTCAGTCGGCGCGCTGTGCGAATTGTATTCATCGCCACCGTGCTGCGTGGATTACTTAGCGAACTTGGACTACCTTACCTAGTAGTTACGGTGGGAGCTGGGCTGGTTCCTGCTTCATATCTGACTCAAGATCTGCAGGGATCACCGTCTGCACCTGTCAAGAAGCTCAGCTTACATAATGCTGGGGTATATCCTTGACCTTGTCTCTGGAGATTTCGACGGCCGTCGATTGCATGAGTGCATCGGAGTCGTAAACTCGGGCAACTTGGGAGGTGTTGAATCTTGGGAGGTGTTGAATGTTGGGAGGTGTTGAATGTTGGGAGGTGTTGAATGTTGGAAGACGCGCCCATTTGCTGTGGGTAGTTTCTGTCCACCTCCCATTCCAAGCCTGTACTCCTGAAACTTGGAGCCGGAGATTTCCATCCTTTCTGGTGGAATAAGATAGCGGCCAAATCAGAGCCCGACAAGTATTCTATCAGACTGCCCTGTAGCCGCCTGCCTTCGATCCACCGTCATGTTGATGACAGAGCTCCCAACTGAGCTCATCGCCGCGATCTGCGAACATCTACCGACAAGCAACCTCTTCAACGTACGCCAAAGCTGCAAGCGTCCGGACTCAGTCAACGTCAAACTCTTCTTCTGAAGATAGTACTATGAAGAACTCTGCACCCTAGTGACACCTCGCAATCTGGACTTTCTCCGGTTTGTTGCAGATCATGAGACCTCGCGGCAATCAGTGCGAGCAGTTGACATCTTTCCGGGATTGTGGGAATCATTCGATTATCTAAACGGAAGAAAGAGTCGCGAAATGTTGCCTCCGCGATTAGCACAAGATCGTTTCCAAGCGTATCGCCAAATCTTGACCGAAGTCTTTGCACGCTTTCCCAGTATGAACAGGGGAGAGGATTCTCGACCTGAACCCCTACACTGCATTGACTGGCTGAGCATCAAACGACGAACCGGTCAGGACCCAGCAGTTCCTTCAATTCAAGCGAGAAATCTAATGGTGCACCAGAGCATCACGTTCGAACAAAAGTGCTGATGGCGTTGCTTAGAGCTCTATCTGTCAGCAACATCTCACTCAAATCTCTGACCAGCTGCAGTGGTGAATGTGCATCCCTCGAGTCGCATGAGTTCCAGAAGGTAACCTTGCCTAATGCTCTGCGCGATGAACGGCAGATTCGCCTCTGCTGGACTTAGTACATGAAGTTTCCCAGAGAATGGAAGTTCAATACCATGGGCTACATGCTCAAAGCGGCATCCGCCAGCGTCGAGGAATTCCTTTAGGGAACGGCATCTTTTGCTCTTGGAATCACTGGTTCTGAAAATGCTCCATATCATAGGCTCGTGGATGGAACGCACTTTCAGACGCTGAGAGAGCTGAGAGATAAGAGCTGAGAAGAGCTGAGAAGAGCTGAGAGAGCTGAAAGAGCTGAGAGAGCTGAGAGGGCTGAAAATGTCTTCATTACTTGTGGCTTCGAGCGCTCTTCCTGCTTTCTTCTCCTCCACACGATCTCCGCTTCGAAGATTGGAACTCTCAGAGATACAAATTGAAAAGTCAAGGTCAACCATTGAGGGTAGCGCTCGCTGGCGTCGTGTATTCAATCACATGGCCGGGCATACTAATCTTGAATTTATCGACCTGACGATGCTTGGTTATGCTAGCGTATACTGGACGCCGTTCGATCCCACGCATGGTCCAGAAACACCGCACGCTCTGACTGTACGTCGTTATCATGCTGTGTGGGATAGATTGAGATTGGAATCTGATGTCGAGTTCAAGATGTGGATGGACAGTGTCTGTTTCGACATACGGCGTGGTGATGGATACAGTTCTGATGATCATGGAAGCTATGTATTCGGCGAGGATTTGGAGAAACCTCAACACAAAACCTCCACATCCCTTCCCAACTCCCCAAAGCTCTCCCTCAACCACTTAGCCAGCGCTCCAGTGCCCACACTCTCATCTCGACCACTGGACTGACTTGCCAGCACAATCTTCCWCAACGCCTTCAATTCCAACAATCCATCGAGTCGGAAATCGGACCTTAACTGCAATGCCGTCATCTCCATCCTCGTATAAGAATCCCAGATTGTCTGGGTCGCAAAGTGCAACTTCACCTCCCTCAAATGTGGACACTTCAACATCAATTCCATATCATCATTCAGAGCATCTTGCGGCAGCCATGCGTATGGGAAGCGTGAGAAGTAAGGGAAGCTCAGGCGATACACCGCGTCGAAGCCCGTGGAGATCGTTGTAGGGACATCGCCGTGTAAAATCGACAAGTCGATTCCGCTGAGCCAGTTTTGGAAAGCGGCATTTCCGGGTCCCGAGTGGATTTCCACTTCGGTCTGGTTTAGTGCTACCAGAAGGGACTCGGCGCGCATCTGCTTGGATGTGCCGATGATTTCTGGCAGGGGGATTCCCTGGCGAGGTTGGTGGTTGTTGCCGCGCAGGAAAAAGGCAAAGGTTGATCTGGGGAAGATCTCCTCGAGGACTGCGCGTCGGAGATCGTACGGGAGTGCAGTCAGGTCGAATTTTGTCGGGATGGCTCGACGTGGAAGACGCTCTGCAGGGCGAAGGCTGAGGGTCGAGGTGTTCGACGTCTTGATCTGTGGGATTGCGGTTAGTTTTGTTGGATTTGGAAGAGGATGGCGCGCGCGCTTACTTTCTCGCCGTTGGCTTTGCGGCAGACCTGGGCCCAAGTCATAGCCATTTTGACTAATATACGTATGTGGAGGTGGAAACTTGGGTGCTTAGTGAAAGTTCTGTCGTCGGTAGTCGACGGTGATGAAGAGTCGCTTCGGAGAGTTGGAAGTAAAAGTCCAAGTCGCGGTTGCCCTTCTGCTTCTTTTTCTTCTTGCTTGGTGAAGGTGGCTTCGAAGTTGCGGCAGCGAGAGATGGAATCGATACTGGAGATGTCGATGAAGGAGAAAGAGTTCGGTGGTCTTTGAAGTTGGATTTATATACGTCCGTTAGTAGATTCTCGAGTAAAGTCACTTGTGGAAAAACAGTGAATGTAGTCCGAAAAGAGTGGGGCGCTCCTGTTTGGCAAACATGCAGGGACAACAATCTTCCGGTCCTTATTCACTCGTGGCACACGTGATAGGCTCCAGTGTAGTCAGATCGCCGCAAGAGCCTGTCAGAAGACAGGCGTGAGGTCACATCTGCTTCGGTCCGTGGGTAAGTTTCATGTGAGGCGAGTTGTGTATAATCATTGTGAGCCAGCATGTAATGTAGCATATCATGGCATATGAACGCTTGTGATCGGAAAAGTAAGAACATGATGAAACGAAAGAGATGGAGCGAACTCGCCAGATACTTATAGAAGCGCCACCCACGGCAATTGTGTCCTCTTCTCAAGGGACAAATACCAAAATCAAGCAAACGAAGGAGTGGAATAAAGCCTTGCTACGCTGAACACCTCCGCTATGCATACCAAATCACCAATCAACTCCTACAAAGCAAAACGAATCAGCAAAAACCATCCCCATCAAGCCCCGCGACGAAGACAAAGGAGTTCCTCACGCTTATTTCCCACTCGGTTGCATATAATCCGCATCATTATCCTTATTATCCTCCCTCGCCTCCTCAAGCATCGTATCAATTCCCCGATCCTTGAGCGCTTTCTAAAAAGAGAACATCTTCGTCAATAAATTTTTCGAAACGTGGCAAACAAACAAACGCGCCGCCAGCAGAAAGGAATGATGTACTAACATTGAGACATGTTTGATATTGTTTGAAGAGCGGTGCACACTCATCCGACGTCGCCGTGCCTCGAAGATATTCTGCCAAAGTGTTAAGACTTTTTAAAATTGGGGCTCATGGATTGATGGAGGCGAGGTGCGATACTTTCGGAATACCATTTCAAGAAGCAGGAATCGTAACGTCTGTGGATTTTTTATCTTTTCATCAGTTCTGATTGATCGATTTGTTGGAGGTTTTTGATCGAGATGGCACAAACTCTTTGACTTCATTGCATTCTGGAGCTAGAGATGCCGACATGATGGATGCGATTTGGCGAGTGATGGGATGGAAGGGAGTTGTGTTGCGCGTGATGTTGCCGTGGAAAGCGCGCTAGGAGGTAGTTCTCGAAAGTTTATGATTTAGATAATGCACGGCATAAAGTAATGCACGCTTGGCATGTGAACGACTACATTGAATGCGGACATGGTCCTTTCATATTTCCAAATACCACGTCGTATATTGAACAAGACGTTTATACAACATTCGATATTCTACACAACACCAACCAGCAGTGATAGTCATACACCCCTTTCCTCGCCCCTCACCCATCTAACATTTCAAATACACACCCCTCCGCTTCTCCCCCTCCCTCCACTCAAACATGACCTGCACGCCCACAAACAGCGTGGCACAAGCAGCCGCCAGAAATACCCTCCCTTCCCACCCTGAAATTATCCCCTCAACCAACCCCTTCAATCCATCCAATCCCACAGCAAACCCCACCAGATTAGCCGCCATCATCATGAGGATATTGCCCACGGCTCCTAAACCACATAACATCCTATACGCTTCCGGTCGATCTTTCCATTTCCTCGCCGGGAAAGCCAGAGTCGCTAATACTTCTGGCAGGACGAAGAGAGTGACTAGCCAGCCCCACATGAGGAGTTTGAGGTTAATATCATGCCATAGAGCGACGAAAGTGAAGACGGCGAGGTAATTTGCCATGGCTCTCATTTTCCCCCCTCCACTTCCTCCCATGGGGACATAGATATATCTCACCACGAAGCGGTTGAAGGAACGATGCCAACCTCTCCAGAACGCCAAGGCGGAATAGTTGTCAGACATGCAACGGACCATGTTCTCGGGTGGATCAATGCCATCTACCAATGCCCATAATCTAAAGAAGCGCCATGGGATGAGAAGTTTCAACCAGATGACGTGCAGGTTGAAGTAACCTAGCATGCTGAGTTGGAAGGGGGAGTAGATGGACCAATCGGGAGAGGATTTTGAAATGGCGACGGCGTAGAGGTAGTGGAGGACCAGTTCCATGGCGAGGAGACAGAGGAAGAAACGGATCGCGTAGGGGATGATTCGTTGGCGGGAGGTTGATGGTAAGGGGTGGCGGGATTGCGAGATGTAGTCGTTGAAGTTTATGATGGGACCGGTGAGGTAAAGAGGGGAATAGAGAGTGTAGGCGAGGTAGTTTTTGAAGGTAAAGTCCTGGGGAAGAGCACCGATGGAGACGCGTTCGCGTTCGGGGAGGGAAGAGGGGTTGAGGTTTTTCTTCTGGAGGTGGTTAGTTTGAGAAGTTGGTGAGGGGAGGAAGGGTGAGGGATATCTACCTCGATGGGACTGCTGGCTCGACGATCTTGCATCCAGAGATGGTCAAAGTTGAAGGCGATGAGACGTAAGACGGTGATGTTGAAGAGGATTTCCCAACGAGGGAGGAGGCCGCCGTAGCTGTCGATCCATGCGGCCCATCCAGGAGTGTCCGGGGATGTGTTGAAGAGGAGAGCAGAAATGTCTCGGAGTTGGTATCCATGACAAAGCTCGTTGGCGAAGAGAATTCCAATATTGGAAATCCAAGTTGACAGCCCAACGTATTGCTTGGGGAGGGCTGTTGCGATTTGGAAGTTTGCATACAGAATGAGAAGGACCTTTGCGGTGGAGAAGCCGTGCAATGCCACGAGGAAAATCAAGGCAAAGGTGAGATCAAAGGTGACTCGAGAGTTCAATCGTTTTTCCGGCTCGACTTTGCTTTGGTTGGATGGACTCGTCACTCTCCTCAGAATGGGATGCAGGATCAAGACGAGCAGCATAACAGGAATGTTCTCGCGGAATCCCGAGTATTGTGAGTCGGAATCGTCCAATTTCCTTCCGGGAATCCATCCTTCCGAGAGTAAATGTTCATATCGTTGGTAGCCCGGATGATCTGGACGGGAAACATCGTAGACGCATTTGAACATCAACGCGGGAATGGTGAGAAAGACGAGGTAGTAGAGGTAATATTCCCATGTCCGCCATTTCGACGGCTGTGCTGAGGGATGCGGTTGCCCCGTCGGCGATGCGAATCGTACATCGAGTGTTTCCACCCGGTACAGATCTCGCAACATGTTGGTTGGGGAGATGAGGTGGATTGATCGAAATCAGGAGATGGATGGATGCAAGGTACGTGGAGGGTCTAGGAGGGATGGAATGCTTGCGATTGGTCRACGGACTCGACTCCGCCGGCCGGGTCGAAACACGGTGCAGGCACGCCAGGCGCGTAACATTCATGGAAGGCCATTGAAGTCCATCAACATTCATTGATCAAGATATCTCGCATTGGAAGGAGCATTGTGGTCGCGACTACTAGATTCAAGTGCATGTAAAGAGTGAGGTGGAATCTCAACATGGCCTCGTCCGCAATGCCCTCGGGGCAGGTCAACATGCAAGAGTACGCTGGCGGTGGGTGGATTCTACAACCATGCTGGAGGATTGCATCGTCTAACACCATTCCCAGACGACATCAACGCCCTCATCCTCGATCCCGGCTCTCACACCACTCGCGCGGGCTTCGGCGGGGAGGATGTGCCCAAATCCGTCTGTCCCACGAGCTACGGCCTGCTCGAGGATGGCAGCAAAGTATTCGGCGAAAATGGCATCCACAACCCTAAACCCGGCATGGAGATTCGCACGCCCTACGACGGCGATGGCATTGTCGAGGATTGGGATACAGCGACGGCATTGTGGCAGTACGCCMTCACCTCCCGCTTGACGGGCGCCAAACAGACTCCTCCGAGTAAGAATGGGCTGAATGATGACAAGGACGAGGGGGGAGACACCAACATGGAGGAGGCGGCGGAGAAGAACGAGGTAGAGGACGAAGAGAGTGACCTGTTGGCTGAATATCCATTATTGATGAGTGAACCCGCGTGGAATCCCGTCAAGGCGAGGGAGAAGACCATGGAGATTGCCATGGAGAAGTGGGGGGTACCCGCCTTCTTCCTGGCCAAGACGGGTCAATTGGCAGCATATGCACAAGGCAAGGCGACGGCGTTGGTGGTGGATGTCGGGCATCAAAACACCTCCGTCACCGCCGTGTGGGAGGGAATGGTGTTGAAGAAGAGCGTGCATCACACTCCTCTCGCATCCTCCTACCTCTCCTCCCAAATTCGCGCCATGTTCGCTTCCCTCCCCACTCCCGCCCCTCTGGTCCCCCATTTCATGGTCAAGTCGAAATCCCCCGTCGACGCCAACTCTCCCTCCAACGCGATCTACAACAAATTCGACACGCCTCCCACCGCATCCTACCGCGCGCTGGAAGAAGAGCGGGTCCTTACGGCTTTCAAGGAATCCCTCTGCACCACCTGGCCCGGTCCCAACCGATTGGAAAGCCCAACCGGCGCTCCCGGAGGCTACACTAATGTCGACCATGCAAAGCAACTACCGCCGAAGCCGTTTGAGTTTCCMGACGGATGGAATACGGTATTTGGGGTGGAGAGATTCAAGGTTGTAGAGGTAAGACATGTCCCAATCCTTCCATACATTCATCCATCCATTCATGTCGACTAACATGACATTCATAGGGCCTCTTCGATCAAGCAGCCGCATACCCCACTCCAGACTTCACCCCAACACCAGATCAAACACTCACATCCCTCTGCAAAAAGGCCATTGATGCCGTCGACGTCGACGCCCGGCCGCACCTCATGAATAACATCATTGTCACGGGCGCCGGTTCGTTGATTGAGAAGTTGCCCGATCGATTACAAGCCGACCTACAAGCCATCTACCCGAATCCGAAAGTCAGAGTCCTGGCCGGAAGCAGTGTGGAGAGGAAGTTTGGTGCGTGGATTGGAGGCAGTGTTTTGGGGAGTTTGGGCTCGTTCCATCAGATGTGGGTTAGTCGGAGTGAGTGGGATGAATTTGGCGCGGCGATTGTGGAGAAGAGGTGTAAGTGAGATGGAATGCCGGGGATGATGAGGAGGGAGATGGCTAGCTGCAGAATTCACGAACGAATGGAAAATGTGCCACATGTCTGTGTTGGTTGCTGTTGAAATGACCCTAGGTACAGTCAAGGTTTCCTTTGATGGGGAAGGGTGACTCACTGCAAAGACCACGCGTCTGGTCAACGGCGGTGAAATGAAACATTGTTTCAACTCGCATGATGCAACGAAGGATATGGTGATTGTCACACTGGCAACGTGGATTTACATGGTACGCCGTTACCTATCTGGTAGGCCGTTTGGGTTGAAACGCTTATTACTCAGCGGGAAGGCGGCACAAACGTTTGCAGTGTGATGTGCTCTTGTTCATCTTCATCATCACCATCATCATCATTGTYAAACATTCATCAGTGATTCTCACACCATACGCCATGCAGAGGAATGCAGTCTTCATTTTGGCGGCAGCTGGGTGGTCAAAAGTACACCTTCCCAAGTGTATCAATGTGCAAGACCAAGACACCCTCCAGAAGACAACTTGACCGTTATCCCACGCATCGATGATGAACCGTTTCATCCCACAACGAACCAACTCCTTTCCCACCGTCTATTACTTCCTCCTTTACACAGCGATACAATCTGTAACCACGACATTCCCTCCATCAATGGCTCACCCCGTCATCAACGGCCTCAGAACCAGACTTTCCCTCTCCCTCCTTTCAAGAAAGATTACAACCAAACCGTTGGCACACAACGTCCACCCCTCCAGTAACAAAGCTCTCCTCTGCAAGGAATGTATAAGTCGTGCCACAAATCCAGCAGTTGTCTCTCATCTTCATCTTCAATCCTCACATCCATTTGGAAAACTACAAACAGTTTTCCTCACATTCTTTGATCCAGATCTTCCACTTTCGTTCCCGACATCGAAACAGAAACATCCAACCAATAACCTTTTAATACACGATCACATACACACAACCAGACAACATGCGTTCCACAGCAATTATCGCTCTCGCCGCCGCTTCCAGCATCGCTCAAGGTCAGAGAGTTGCTTCTCGACAAACCGTTGATCCATTTGGCATAAATGAGCTCATCAACGGAGACTTCGGCGCTTCCGTCGACGCTTCCGCCGACGCTTCCGCCAATGCTGGAAAAGGTCAGAAAGTTGCTTCTCGCGGTGTGCAGGCCTTTTCCTTCGGCGCCTCGTCTTCAACTGGCGTCGACGCGGACGCCGAGGTTGGAGACGACACGGCAAAGGAGAAGAGAGGTGTGGTCGACTTCAGCAACCTCGATGTGAGCACCTCGGCTTCAGCCGACGCCGACGCTTCCGCCAACCTCGGAGACGATGCGGCAAATGAGAAGAGAGTCTCCTCTCGCGGYGAGATGGAGATTGGCCCCTTTGGCCCCTTTGCCCTCGACGTCTCGACTTCAACTAGCGCCGACGCTTCCGCCACCGCCGGAGATGGCGCGGCAAATAAGAAGAGAGTCTCCTCTCGCGGAATCAATGTTTTGTCGCTTCCCCCCCTTGCTGTCGACGCCTCGTCTTCAACTAGCGCCGACGCTTCCGCCAACGCCGGAGAAGACGCGGCGAACGAGAAGAGAGGTGCGATTATGCTTCCGATTGGAGGCCCCCTGTCCCTTGACGCCTCCGCTCGAAACGGCGTCGAAGCTTCCGCCAACGCCGGAGAAGAAGACTCTGGGCTAAAAAAGCGCCAGTCCACTCAACAAGCCTATGGTCAATGCGGTGGGGACTCGTACAAGGGCCCAACATCCTGCGCTGCGGGATCAAAATGCTACCGTCGCGATGCTTCTTACTCGCAGTGTTTGCCAACTGTACAGCAGGCGTATGGTCAGTGTGCGGGTAGCAACTACTTTGGACCGGATGCTTGTGCGTTGGGATCTTCGTGCACGAAGTTGAGGAATGATTATTCGCAGTGTCTGTAAGTTCTTCCCCCTCACCTGTCCTCCCCATTTCATACATATTTTCGAGGGAAATGATTGCTGACGGTCGATGATTTATCTAGTCCTGCTGGAAAGGGAGGCGCCAAAGCCGTCGCATCCGAAGACATGTTGTCGGAAAAAGACATGGCTTCTGTGGATATGGACCCCAAACACAACCCCGAAGGCGCGGACGAAGACCCCGTGCACGCCGACATTTCCGCTGAAATGACAGGAAAGTCCACCGCCGAGATGGCAGCAGCTCCGGAATACAAGACCGAAGACACAATGATGGCTATGCCTACTCCTTCATCCATGGAGACAGAAATCATGACGGCCACGGACTCCATRGTCCCATCCAAGGAGACCCCGACGGAAATGGCTATGCCGACTATGAATGACAGCAGCAAGACGAACGCTACCAAGACGATGGGATCTAGCATGCCTTCTGGTACTTCCTCCATGGGAATGGGTGGTGACAGGCAGCCTGCGGAGTACGAGGGTGTTGCTGCGAGGGGATTGGTTGTTCCAGGAATGGTTTTTGCGATTGGAATGGGAGCTGTTTACTTGGCGATGGGTTTGTAGATTCTGTCTGGTCAGTTTTATCTTTCTACTGGTTGGTTATTGTTTGGGGGGTGCGAAGTTGGGAGGGAGTGCGAAGTGGGGAGTTGTTGGCAGGGCTGCTTGTTGGATATACCATTTACAGTAATAGCGCGATTCTGGGAATTTATATTACTATTACATCTCCATTTCCACATTTTTTGGTGATATAAACATCTCCTTCTATTTTCTTATTCAAGTATCCACATCACATTCGTCATCCAACTTCAAAAGAGCAAAGAAAACCCCTTGAATTCAGCTCCCTAAACTCTACCATGCCCAATTCCTCTCGAACCGATCATTAGTCCTCACAGCAGTGGTGGCAGCAGCAACAAGTTTCCCAGCCATCGGATTCTGTTGCAGCTGTGGCACTGGTGTAAAACCCCTCGCCCAATCCTGCGGTAGCGCTTGTTGTGGTTGATAACTATCCGTGGTACTACTTCCAACTCCACTTCCCAAAGGTAATTGATATAATTTCGCAATCATATAATGCACGACGCAAGTACCCAACCAAATGACGATCAAAAGGATGGCTAGCAGACGGTGTTCGAGGCAGTGTTTACATGCTGCTGCTGTGGTGTATGGGGAGGGTGCAGGAGTTGCTGCGGAAAGTTGGGCCTTGATCTTAGCGGCGGAAGTAGGGGTGTATACTGTGAAGAGGGAGGATGCGCCGAAGCCTGGGATTTCGTCTTCTGTGAAGTCTTTGTTTGAGGCGGGGTGCTGTCTTTGCAGATTTGTTGGGTTGGATGTGGTGGATGAGGGTTCATTGGTTGAGGAGATGGAGGGGCCTGATGATGATTGTAGCCTTGTGGACGTTGGAGGGGGGCCGTGTCGGTGGTAGTCTTCGATGTTGGCGGGTGGGCTGAAGGTTATGGGGCCTTCCCGTGGACCGATGGAAACGTTTTCTTGAGGGAGATCGCCTGAGGTTCCGAGACGAGTGGTGGGTGAGGGTGCTGGTGGTGTTTTGGGATCTGTTTGGAGTTTTGGTGGTGTGGTGAGGGATTGTGTTTCCTCTGGTGTGGTGGAGTCTGAAGACGGAATATATTCAACAATACCAGCGGGTTGAGATGCTGGTGCAGGAGCTGAACTTTCACGGGCTTGAGATGTTTGAGGTGATGGCGTGGCGGACTTGCTATCGACCTGTGGTCCTGGAGATGCCTGATCGATAGGCGTGAAATGACCTTCTCCGGTAGTATTCATGGCCTCCTTCGCTGGTGGAACATTGGAATATCGAGATGACCCACTCGATGAAGAACTGCCTGGTCTTGAACTGAGACTGTGCTGTCTTGACGAAGTACTTGTTCCTCCTCCAGCGGCTCGATTGATACCAGCTAAATCTCTGCCACCCCAATGACAATTCCAGAAGGTGAAACCCGCATACAGCTTGATCAGACTGTGAAAGTAAGCAAAAGCAAAGTATCCCGGCAACATCCTCAAGTCTTCTGGATGACGTTGGAAGTAAGCCCATAATTTGACCATCTTCGTTGCAAAAATCCAGGTTCCTAATGCAAGATATGTCCAGAGAGTTCCGTACCCCGAAGCCCTCAGAAGATAAGCCAGTCCAACATCATTGAACAATGCAAAGTTGAAGARCGAGGTAATGTACACCGCATAGACACACCAAGGTTGACTCCTGTAAACCGTCCGATCAGTAATCAGACTCGCAGAATTCGACCTCCAAGTCGTCCGAACCCATCGAAGACACTGCTGTACGAATTTGGGATAAGCTCCCAACGTCGTCTCAATGCATGCATCATCAGAATACTGGATTTTAATCCCCCAGCCACGAGAGACTTCAAATCGGGTAATGTAATTATCATCGTCAGGATTCAGGGGTCCACAAAGCCCGAAGAAGAATCTCTCATTCGTGAATCCCGGGAGGAAGTCCTTGTCCTGAAGAATCACGGTACGATGGAGAGAAGTCCTGCCCGAAATGACAAAGACTCCGCCGTCGATTATGTTGGTGGCTCGGATTTCAAAGTTGTGGCGTTCGAGATAGATGGCTCCGAGCATATTCCAGTAAGACAAGACATTGAAACCTGTGTGTTCTTTTCGCACACGTTTGTTGGTTCCTACGGCTCCGATTTGGGGATCTTCAAAAGGGGCTAGGGCTGTGGGGAGGAATTTGTGGCCCCAGAGAACGTGGTCGTCAAGGAGAACGGTTATTTTCGTCTTGACTTTTCGGATGCCGAGGGCCACTTGAGTACGCTTGTTGGCTTGTTGGGCTGTGAGGATTGTGATTTTCGTGTCTGAGCAGGCCTCTGTATATTTGTTGATCAGGTACTTGCAGCTTGCATACTTTTCCATTCCGACTACGACGATGAAGATCTCCTTGGGACGATTGACGAGGCAGGATTCGAGACAGTGAATGAATTCATTGTTGGCGGGATCGACGGTTGGTAGGATCACGGAGCAGTCTTGAGAGGTCAGGGTTGGGTTTTCGGGAACTGGAGTCGGTTCGTAGCACCAGAATGCAATGAGGTGAACGATCAGACGAATGTATCGAAAAGCGAAGTAGGCGCCGAACCAAAAGAGGGGACGTTCGTAGGCGCTTGTGAAGATAGGGGGTGAGTAGTAATGCCATGCCGAAGAAACGTGCCAGCCGATCTCGCCGGTCAGGTCTGAGAGTATCAGCTTGATGTTCTCCATGATAAGCTTGTGTGAGAATCAGGGGTTGGAGGAAGCATCGTGCGACTTCGACAACTCACCAGGGATATAGCAGATCTCTCGCGCACAAAGCGTTCACCAAGAACGGCGGTGGATGTGAGTCTGAACAAAGGTGATGTGTGAACATCTCGATGCGATTCTTATCCAAGAGCGGTGGAAGAAGCTTTGAGGCAAACAAAGGAGGTGAAGGTGTAGTCAAACCCCTCTTGATTCTCCATTATTCCTCTCATCCTACATGTAGCTTCGTTCCGAGAAGAATCAATCTCAAGATGCCAGACTTGATTGCAGAGATTTCAGATGTGATCGAAGCGAATCTTCCGGGTCCCGAAACGCGACTGTTGTTATTCAGGGGATGGCTCATCCTCGTGGCAGTTGCGTGGTCAAGTTCTTACATTCAGAGACAATATCAAAGCGGTAATCTATCGCGAAAAAAGATTGGTCGAAGAGTCGGATCATTTTCCTCCACAGCATGGAGTCGATTTTGCAGTATCAGTCTCGGGACTTGGGCTATCCCCTTTCCCCTCCCCGTAATCTGGTGGAAGCGAGGTGAGAGCCGTGCACAAGTCGACGATGAACCAAATACTAATGCCAATCAACAGGCTGCTGCTCTGGTGATCTCGCCATCGGTACTCTCCTGACTTTCATGGGTTACATCCCTGGAATCATCTACGCATGGCACATCATCAACACGACAGGAGACAAACGCAAGGCTCCTCGCGAGATGGAACATATGAATATGCATACTGTTGACGAGATCAAGGCTGTGAATAAGGATGAGGATGGCAGGCCGATGTATCTCGTCTCCTGGGTGGGATATGGGTCTGATCAGGATACTTGGGAGTATGCTGGTGAAATCGACAGAGATGCTTTGAGGAGGTATCGAGCCCTCAATGTTAAGCGACAGCGATCCAGGTCTCGGAGTAGAAGTGATCGGCGCAGGAGGAGTAGCACGACTAGCGGTACCTATTGACCTCTTGAGAAGTGTTACCGGCATTTGGTCGCCGAGGATGGCTGAGATGAGATCATCGCACTTGAGAGCAGCTTCCCGATCCCAACTCTAGCAGATGTTATGCAGAATGTCATGGATATTCTAATGGCTTCTGATGCCGTTTTGGGAAGGCTCACCAAGCTCAAAAGAGAGAACAGACAAAGAAAGATGAAAGCAATGTTCTCGCCTTTGCCAAACCATCGCACAAAGCAGCATCGTATGGGTGACTTCTCATGATTGCTTGAACCTTTTGAAGCATTGTTAAATCGTCAAGTGTCGTCAGCGCAGGATCAATTTGCCAAGGTACATTCACATTCACTCACAGCTCTTGGCGTTGGAAACTCTTTTTGAGAAGTCTAGCTTCTTAACCACCGTCGCCCGAACCTCGGATTTGATCGTTACGCGGAAATTTCTATCTATTGAGTATGTACGTCAAGTAGTGGTGTCATTCGATCAGCYGGAATACGACTCTCGTACACCTAATTAGAAATGCGAAGGATGTTGGATATGTGGCGGCGTTCTATGTGCAGGATTCATAGGCGAATCCTTGCACAGCTTCTGATCCAATGAAGGCTCGCTCAAATCACAAGAGCAACCATATGAGCGGCAGACATACAAGCTCACACCTTGGGTAAAAGCACCGGATCCCTCAACAGCCTCTGCATATCCTCCCTCTTCAACGGCAAAGTAACATCCACTCCATCCTTCGTCCACCCTCTCGACATGCCTCCCACCCCAGACTCCTCCGAAGGCGGACCATCCACAATCAGAATACACCCATCCAAACAAGGCACCATCCCATCCGCATACCTCACCCTCCCTCCCAACCCAAAATCAACATCATAGATCCCTGCCCTAGCCCACGTAGTGACCAAACAATGTCTCCTCCCCAAAAACGCCTGCCAGATTCTCTGCGGAGATTTCTCATACGCGATGCTGTGTAAGTGAGCAGCTATTCGCTGACGAGTATTGACGGTAGAAATCGTCTCTCGAATGCGATGCGCGACGAGTCCCAGAGATTTGCCAGAAGCGACGTCCGAGGCATCCATTTCGATGTTGAGCATCATTGTGGGCGATCCCAGGAAGGAGTCGTCTAATCGGAATGCCGGGCGAACTCCTAGCACGAGATCGCAGTGGACGGGATTTGGGTCGTCTTCGAGACCTCGGGCACGTACGACGCATGACCAGATGTGAGCTAATAGAGCGTCGTGTTTGCTGATTACCAAATTCGTTGGCGCTGAGAAGTTCTGTTGGACGGCTGATTGCCATAGGTGATCAATCTGCTTTCGGTTGAAGTGAATTGTGTACTGCTCAACTGGCGCTGCGGTATCCCACTCTGACCAAGGTAAAGGCGTCCCAGCCAGCGGAAGATCTGCAGGGAATGGAGAAGGTGGCTGAGCGGGAGGATCCCACCAGTCGTATCTATGTAGTGGAAGGTCCAATGCGTCTTTCAGAATGCTGGGATCGGGTCTCGCAGCATCAATGTCGCCCGCGGCGCAAGAGTCTAGTTGACAGGGTTCAAAGATTGGCGTTCGGATTGTTAGGGGCGCATCTGTAAGGATTGCACGACTGACATTGGCCCAGTCCCGCACGAAGTGTGTGAGTGAGGTGATATCTGCCAGTGGATGAGCGATTTTTGCGGCCAAGACAATGGCGCCACATGCGAGCTCGGTGTATTGCACCGCCATGATTGGTTTGTGCGAGCCATCCGCATCCGTGTTATTGGCGGGCTTGAGGGCAAGGACAATGTCTGTTGCAGGTGTAAAATGGGTAAGAGTCACTCCATCCTCTAGTCGATTCCAGACGGGCCGTCTCTTTCCGGAATTGGCAGTGTAAAGATCGTCGACTGTCGCAGTACTTTTCGCTTCTATAAACTCCACGCCAGGATCTGTATCARTGCCAAAGTGTACATAAACACGACCATAACGTCTGGCATGCGGCGGGAAAGATGCTGTTTCTGAAGGAAGACAAGTACCATCTTTGCTGAGGATAGCTTTCAGGTAACCACACCACTGAGGATAAACATTCAGAATTGTGCTGAGCGCCTTGCGAAGATGGGTGGGGAGATCAGATGAAGAAAGTGGAATGGTGGGACGTTCAATTAGCCAAACGGCGCTGGTGAGGCCGAATGTAGCAGTTGTTGCATCCAGTAGCGATAGTGGCACCGCATGTTCACTGTCCACTGACTGCTGAGGAGATATACGGCTCGTCCGAATGATGCGGGGTGATGTTGTTGTCGTTGGAGGGATTGTCATGATGTCGCCAAGGGTGAGAATGTCTTGGAAAGGCTTCCGCAGTGCTCGACCGGCACTACAACACTACTTGTATAGTAGGATTGATCACCCTGGACATGAGTCGAAATGATAAGTGCAAATGGAAGGGCTGGACCTCTCCCTGGAGCGGGTCCTTCACAGCCCCATTGGACCGCGTCACGCGAGCTGGCAGGTGGCATGATGCGCCTCATAGAAGTACGACTGGGCATTTCCCCTTCCATTCGACAAGGTCATGGCTAAGAAAGGCATCGTATTGACGGCATACGATGTTTTATTACAAGGTAGCGCATCGGGCTTTCCCGAAGATGCTCGGATGTTTTCTATCCAAGCCTCAAGGTGAGATTTAAGTTACGGAGGAGGCAGCTCCGGGACTGATGACCGGGGATATGCCGACACATGGTGCGTGCGTGGGGTGGGGGTTCGCAAATAGGTAAGGAAGGCGCTAAAAGTTATTACTTGCTTACTCACGACCTCGAGTTACAAGTTACGGTAGGTAAGGTATTGCGCACAGCTTCGAGTCACATTGCTGAGGAGTCAGGCAGGCATTGGAAGTTATACAGCTGTCTCTGCATGCTGCTACGACGCCTTGTCCCTCACTTCACGCGCGCAACAACACTTCGAGCACTACCAACTCTACAACACCAACACCTCCATCGTTTGTGGATCCCCTACCGAAGCTTCAGCATGGCGCCCAAGAAGGAAAAAGCCGCCAAAGGCCGACCAGAGCAGGTACAACTCGAGCTCGAACCCACACCGGAGTGGTTTGCCTCGCGCAATGCCCTCTTCGATAAGCGCAAGGCGGAGCAGGATGCGTGGAGAGCGGAACAGCCGCGTGAAGACATCACCATCACCCTCCATGACGGCAGCGTGAAGCAAGGAAAGAGCTGGGAGACTAGCCCGGCCAACATTGCCTACGACATTTCCAAGAGCCTGCTCGAGCGCACCATTGTCGCTCGCGTCAATGGCGAGCTGTGGGATCTGGACCGGCCGTTTGAGGAGAACTCGACCCTCGAACTGGTCGACTTTGAACACCCGGACGGAAAGAAGGTCTTTTGGCACAGCAGTGCTCACGTGCTGGGCGAGGCGTGTGAGCGACGCTTTGGCTGCAACTTGTGCATTGGTCCGCCCGTCGATGATGGTTTCTACTATGAAATGGCCCTGCCTGACCAGGCCTCCGTCACCGAGAGCGAGTATGAGCCTCTCACCAAGATCGTCAACAATGTCATCAAGGAGAAGCAGAAGTTTGAGCGTGTCACTCTCAGCAAGGAGGATCTGCTGGAGATGTTCGCATACAACAAGTACAAGAAACACATCATCAATGACAAGATCCCCGACGGTACCAGCACCACCGTCTACCGCAACGGCCCTCTTATCGATCTGTGCAGAGGTCCTCACGTCCAACACACTGGCCGCATTAAGGCCTTCTCCATCATGAAGAACTCGGCCAGTTACTTCCTCGGCGACGCCAAGAACGACAGTCTGCAACGCATCTACGGTGTCTCGTTCCCCGACAAGAAGTCCCTCGAAGAACACAAGCACCTTCTTGCCGAAGCCGCCAAGCGTGATCACCGCAAGATTGGCCAAGAACAGGAGCTCTTCTTCTTCAACCAAATGTCGCCCGGCTCATGCTTCTTCCTCCCACACGGCATGATCATCTACAATTCTCTCATGTCCTTTATCAAGGAGGAGTACTGGAAGCGCGGCTATCAAGAGGTCGCCACACCCAACATGTACAATTCCGAGCTGTGGAAGCGCTCCGGTCACTGGGAGCACTACAAAGATGACATGTTCACATTCGACGTCGAAAAGGACAAGTGGGCGCTCAAGCCCATGAACTGCCCCGGTCACTGCCTCCTCTTTGCTCACCGCGAGCGCAGTTATCGCGAGCTTCCAATGCGTATCGCCGACTTTGGCATTCTCCACCGGAATGAGGCTTCGGGCGCACTCACAGGTCTTACTCGTGTGCGACGTTTCCAGCAGGATGACACCCACATCTTCTGCATGGAGAGTCAGATCGAGCAAGAGATTAACCTTCTCTTTGACTTTATGATGTCCGTCTACGGCCTCTTCGGCTTCACCTTTAAATTGAAGCTCTCCACCATGCCGGAGAACCACCTTGGTGATGAGGCTACATGGGAGCGTGCAGAGGCTACATTGACCAAGGCTCTCGACGACTTCAAGGACAAGACTGGCACCAAATGGGAGCTCAACCCTGGTGACGGTGCTTTCTACGGTCCAAAGATCGACGTCACCATCAGTGATGCTCTGCGTCGGGAATTCCAGTGCGCCACCATCCAGTTGGACTTTCAACTCCCGCAGCAGTTCAACCTGGAGTACCGCACTGATGAGCAGGCCAAGCCTACTGGAGAGAAAGCAGCACCCACAAAGGAGAATGCGCCACCCGCAGAGAGCAAGCCTGAGCAGCTCCCTATCCGCAGCGCACCTGCCGCCGCAGTGGAAGCCGTATCCACAGCTGCGTCCACGGTTGTATCAGCAGTCACCGGCTCCACTCCAGAAGCAGACCACAAAGGCTGCGATCACAGCGCCGTCCCAGCGATCGACTATCGCAAGGAACTCACACCAGGCTGTGCCCGTCCCGTCATGATCCACCGARCCATCTACGGCAGTTTCGAGCGCTTCATCGCCATCTTGACGGAACACTTTGCCGGCAAGTGGCCATTCTGGCTCTCGCCCCGCCAGATCCTCGTCGTCCCAATCATGACTTCGGCAAACGACTATGCTCTTGAGATTCAGAAGATCTTCCGTGCGGAGCGCATGCACGCAGATGTTGACCTCACCGGCAACACGCTTCAGAAGAAGATTCGTACTGGTCAATTGGCGCAGTACAACTTCATCCTGGTGGTTGGAGCCAATGAGATGGAGTCGAGAAGTGTCAACATCCGCAATCGCKATGATCCGGAGACGCAGAAGAAGGGCGAGGAGATCTCGCTCGACAAGGCCCTAGCGTTGTTCACGGGATTGAGGGATGAGCGAAAGTTGGATTCCAAGTTGCAGGGCGCTGTTGCTGAGGTCCAGGCTGAGGTTCAGGCTTGATGATGTGCATGATGGGCGTGATGTGCAAGTGTTGTGATGAATGTGTATGAAAGGCAGACGGTGTTCCGCTTCATGCAATRAGAGATGAGAAAGCGTGAGCATGATGCGAAGATGGCTCTGCATCTCAGCAGGGAATTGCTGGAGTCCATGCGGTTTTCATCTGCTACAGCGGATTCCCAGAGACTGTCCATACGATGGCTCTGTAAGTAGAAATGAAAAGATCAACTACATGACGTCTGTTCTCATCTCTTGCTTCATGTTGAAATGTGGAAGGAATGTACTTTGTTCGATTGATCAGAGAGTAGTCTGCAGCATGGTCGTTTTCACACATGATGCCCACGCATTGTATACTCCCTTCCTGCCWTGCCTAGAGGAGAAGAAAGCGTCCTGCGATTGATCCAACCTTGTATATGGCAAGCAAGTGATTCCGCAGACATAGCACTACTTATGGCTACATGTAGTCGCGATGGGAAATTGCTGATGTCGGTGACTGCCTCCTTCTCAGACGCTCTTTTGTTCATTCCTTCCGTGTATGTTGTGTTATACCTACCCTACCTACTCGGGGGTAACTAGACTTTAGGCGGAGGCCTTGAGCAAGCCAAGCGTTCCGACCGTTACAGTGAGAAGGAACGTAGGCGGCAATCCAAGGTTCTGAGAAGGAGGTGGTTCGGTGACAGATGTGTTGATGGGCATAAGTCGACGCTGAGCTGTCCCATCTTCTAGTTCTTTGCGATGTTGCCCTAGTAGACGCTATTACTTTATCTTGCGATCATCGTAGCCGCGTCATCTTGAAGCTGCCGCTTGAGAGATTTTTGGAGGGCGACGGGCGAGCGGCCTGAGATGCCCACTCGAGCTCGCGGAACGAGCAGGCTGTAATGCGGTGATGCCTCAGCCTGGAAAATCTCTATTCCATCCTACACATCGTGACCGGGTGTCTTTGCATAGTCTCCTCTTTCTCCACATCGTGTACAGGCATCTTCGCATGCTCTTCTCTTCTCCGCCCTGCTTCGTGGAGGTCTCTGCTAAGCTATTGCCTGCTGGACGTCGTATTGGGCGTCGACACATGAAAAACGACCATACTTCCAAGCAAACTCTTTTTCGCCACGGCTGCAGACGGGACAGGCAGCGGGCTCCAAACTGATTGGATCGTGGGCGTTCATGACTGTGTGGCTATCGTAGGCAACAGTTTGTGAGGATCGAATGTGCGACGCGCATCGAAGGATGGGGCTGTGCCGACTTCGCTCGAGTCATCGAGTGTGACTGGCTTGAGATCTATCGTGCGCGCGTCAGAGTTCCTGCGCCGGTGTGCGTATCGAAGCGTAGTTGGTGGGTAGCATCATGTGGGGGGGGCGCGCGGTCCGAGGTTACAAAGCAGCACGACAGCGACGATGCAGGAGGTCTCACAGAACGGAATCGACGAGGCGCGCAACGATGTGCTCGAACGTGATTTGATGTGGTAGTGAAGTCGCTGCATTCTCATGATCAGCCTCGATGTCATTTGTTCAAGGTGCGAAACGGGGATGAAACTCTTCTCTTCTCCAGACGCCTGYGACAATGGCAGACAGTATGATGAAAAGGTAGTGATGCGAACATCGCTGTGTGTTTTTCCAAATATTCCGACACGAACCGTAGTCCATGTCGAGCAGTCAGTTGATAGTTTTCAACTAGCAAAAACGCAATCTCGGACGAATCCTCACTGATATGCGTAAAGCCCTAGAGGATGTTAGTCGGATGTTAAGGTGGGAGATAGTAGGGGGAGATCACTAACCTTGCACGAAGATGAAGAGGAAAGGAAGAGGTGCGGAGAAAACAGAGGCTTTTATGTTCGCGTTTGAGCTTGGACCAGCGTGACACAGCTCGCGCGTCTAGTATAAGATACTCGCAGGGACGACGGAGCATGCGTGGGGGCTGAGTGTGTGTGGGCTTGGCATGTGTTGATTCACTCAGGTGGCGCTAGGATCACGTAATACTGCCAAGATTCGCTGAATCTGGGGACTCTGCTTCCCGATTAGTCAGCCGCGGTTTTCACGGCCGCACATGGGCCGAATCCCGCGGCGGCCGAACTTCGGCCGTAAAGTTTTCCGCCAGCTCCTTGGCCAGTCCGATGTATTTTACTTCTTGGTATCATCAACGTATACCATGATAGGAGACGATACTGCGAATGGAGTAATGATGCGTTGGAACATGGATCAATTTTGCTACGTCTGATATTACCTACATAGATGGCAACATCTCACCTCTCTCTGGACGGACTTCCATAATCAAAGAAACCACTTCCTAGGTCCCGCGGGCATGATCACCTTTCACAGGTCTTCCGCTACAGATATACATATTCATCATCCAGGAGCTGAATTAGCAAGTCCTTCTGAGCCGCAATCCCCTGGCCAGCCTCCCGCCGAACGACGACGTCCAGCGTTCGCACTGCATCCCCATGCTCTTGCTGCAAGCCCGAGATCTGCATTTCGAGCTCGAAGATCCGTGGGCCAAGCCGCATCTCCTTGACATTGCGCGCCGCTTCGATCTCCTTGATGGCGTGTTTGTACTGATCTCGCTTGCGCTTGGTGCCGTCATCTTGTCGTTCCCGAGCGGCAACTTCCTCCTCGCGCAGTCGCAAGGCCTCAGTTCGCCGAGCAAGGTCTGCCTCAGCTCTTGCAATCTAGTGTTCTCGATCTTGCTATGCGTCCATTCCGGCCATCAGATGGCGTCTTTACCGTTGGTACAAGGCTGCAGGTCGTAGAATATGACCCAAGATCCGTCTCCATGAACTTTGGCATAACCGATGCGGYGGCTTCTTGCCAATTGACCACAGCGACAAGATCATAGCCGACAGCGCTCTCTTTCGATGTTTGGCCTTCAGACGATGGCACTTGTGACCGATCCGTCAGAACTGACATGTTCAACGCATCCGGAAATCGAATCGTGTTTAGCTCATGGTTCCTTGCTCCACCACGGCGAACTGCAAAGAATTGTAATCACTAGCAACAGTGAGACAATGATATGTGTTGAAGCTAGTCTGGTGATCTCGGCTTCCCTCACACATATGGCCGTCGTGTAGAGCACCGGTCTTCCAGTCCGGGAAAAGGTCCGCAGCCTCAAACTCTGCCAGTGCCTCTCCGGGCACTCCAGGAAGAAAATCGAGATATACGATTGCCGAGTGGTCAAATCCACGCGATACGCTAATGCAACCATCCCCCGGCCAAGGTACTCCTGTTACGGTATGGCTGGAGAGCGAAATTAAGGGCGTGTCGTGTCACTCGGCGTGAAACGTATCCCAGTGGCTCGAGGAATCAGGTTCTGGTGCAAGGAATGCTCTCCCATCGCCGTTGTTGTCCTCCTGCTCCTTTCTGAACCTCATCAACGTTCCACAATGTTCGGCGCCTGAGCAGTCACTCGCAGATACGACGCTATCGATGACCGTTTCCAGGAGTTGCGCAGGCTCATTCGACTCATTTTCCAGCTGTTGTCAAGCGCACTGATTCTCCGAAGGATCTCTTTTGTCGAGCGTTGGCTAAGCTCGGCACCGGCAGCATCAGTCTCCAGTTCTACGAACAGATTGCGAAGTCCCAAGACTAGGAGCTTCTGTTTGTGCAAAGTCCGTCACCGAAACTCAAAAATCTCTTTTGTGGATAGGTCGCCGGCAAACCCTCATGGACGGCTTCGATCGGATACAGCACGGGGTGCTTCAGAACGCAGTCAGCAGGTAGGACGGACCGAGTAACAGGCATAGACGCGCGAGCGTACGACCAGAAAAACCACCTGCCGATCTGCCTACCTTCCCAAACGCCAAAACCACCGAAGCTATGCGAAAGAACGAGACGATTCAACAGCACACTGCTGGTCTGGATCGATATGTTCGAGTGGCCTGGTAGTGACGGCGGCCGTGACTCGAGATTCAGACGCGCCGTCGTTGGCGCGAGAGTCGCGCGCGGGTGCTCAATGCACGCAGAACAGTATACAGCTGTGCACCCGATCTTTGTGGAAGCTTCGTGGCAAACGGTTCAGCGGCCGAGATGCCATAAGTTCGCTTGGCATCACATGCGAGTTCCTTTCTTCCTACGTCAGATTTCAAACGTAAACAACTTCTCACCAATACCTGTATCATCCAGGACGCCGTCGCCGACGCTATCCAGCTTTAGCCTCTYCCTCATCGGCACTCAAATAACAGCAATCACTCGCGCGGTATCTGCGGCTCTTACCTCTGGTCCTCCGCAACAACTCCATCAGCTGCCTTCTTCTGCGCGCGATATCTGCAGCTGTGGACCATTTCCCGAGCAGCCACTCCTCGAGCGTCACTCATTCGCAATATTAGCGACCTTTCACATTTTGACGCACGACTTCGCAATGGACGACAAGCAACCCAATGCGCAAGAAGCGCTCCCGCCGGTCTTCAACCCAAAACAGCTCGAGGACGACAACCCTATGCCGGAGGTATCCGATCAAGAGCCTCTTCGCCAGTACTCCAACGAAGCTCGAGCTTACCATGCGCGGTACGCCGAAGTAAGTATTCWTCCACCGTCTTGCACAATTCCTCGAAGCCAGATGGGCGCTGTAGCTCGGTGACTTGGTCCCGAAGGTTCTATATGGCAGTGTAGTGGCTAACATCATTCCAGTTATCTGAGGCACATGACAATGGCGCGTACAATGCCTGTCGTGAAGGCTGTCTCGATCTCTTGACGGAACCGAATGTTCCTCATTACACCCGAATTCAAGTGCTGCAGATGCTATCAACTATCCTGGCACCGCCAGCAGCAGACTCGTGCCTACAGGAAGCAGCGACGATATTAGCAAAGATGGATAACACGAAGTTCCAAGTCCAGCTTCTCGCGCGCGACAACGAGATGATGCAAGCGGACTTGGCGGAATCGAACAAAAAGGAGTTGAATAGTGACATTGAAGCTGGGCAACGAAGCAATGCCCCTGTTGGACACTGGGACTTCGCGGATGGAGGTTCGGCTGGCGAGGTGTACTACGAGTTTGACCGCGTTCTCCAAGAGCAACGTGAACTCGGTCTTGCAGCAAGAAAGGAGGCGGAGGCAAGTGGATTCGGAACCGTCTTTGGAAAGGTTGACGTTGACGCTGAACGCAAATTTGAGCAGCAAATTGCAGCGCAAGGTGTGAAGATCCGGCAGGGGATCGAGAGACAGGAGATGCTACAAGCTCAAGAGGAAAAAACTGCGCGAGCAGAGGCTCGGACTCCTCTCGTCAGCATGTTCTCCCGTCTAAGCCCTGGGGAAAGAATGTTCGGAGCACGAAACGAAAATCCCGGCGGACACATGCTGCACTCTGTTGGTGATGATGAGGAGACGGCTTCCAGAGGTATCGAAGCAGTGCTGACTGATGCCGCCATCAAGAAAGCTCGTGCACACACGGATGCTGGGCGAGAGGAACTTGCTGTTGCAGAGGCACAGCTGACTGAGGTCGCTGCTCAACTTGCCGCCCTGAAGACTTATGATGCTCCCGATCCTGCGACCAGCTCAACTGCGCCAACAGGTGATGCGTTGCCTTCCATCAAAGTGTGTCCAGCCTTTCGAATTATATTTATCGGGTGTATGCTGACTGTGTCATAGAACCCAAAGACTCGCCACGACCCTAAGCCACTGGAGAGCGGTAAGGCCATCATTACTGGCGGTGCAAGCACGAATGATGAGGGCGAAGCTGATGGTGGCAAGGCTGAGGATGGAGTTGGCGCCAAGAAACGCTTTCGCGAAACTTCGCGCGCCCTGTTGGGTGCTTTTGGACTGAAAGGCAAGGGCAAGGGCGATTCGAAGAAGGAAGGTTAATCGTGTAGGCGTCGACAGCTGGATGTAGGAGACTGAATGAGGGATACTGGATGCAGGAGACTAAATGCTGGAGATTGAATGGGAGACAGAATGCATGAGACTGAATGGGAGACTGGATGGAGGAGACTGGTGCAGGAGACTGGTGCAGCAGACTGGTGCAGGAGATGAAATAAGGCTGAATGAATAATCCTGACTGATCAAGGTTCCGAGAAGGCAGGAGGAGATCGCTGCTGTTGCTCAGCTCAAATGTAGATGTAGATGCCGTTGTATGAGCCCAAACCAGCGTAAGTAGATACCTTACAGCTGATTTCGGACTGAGGTGAAATCAGAACCACATGGGATTCCTTCAGCATTCTGTCTACTTTGATGTCCAAGAAATGGCAAGATTAAAGGTTGCCGGCTCTCCTGGTGGTCAATCGACGGCTACGGGCGTGGCTAGGCAGCGAGAGGTACAAAATTTACTAGCATTAGAGAGAGTGTGTCCAATGCTCCATCGTCGAGTGACTTCTTAATCGTGCTGTGGTCATTGTAGAAGGTCGCCATCTTTGATTGCAGTAGAGAAATTCCAACTTCACTGGTCCTTGATCGGCAAGTCACTCATCAAGCCACGGAGACCAGGATTAATTCATTTTCTCATCAAGCCTCACAAGAGCCAACTAACCCTAGCGATGCATCGCTACATCCAACATCGTACAATGCGTCAAATTCCTCCTCTCACTTCATCTGTCAATGGTAGTAATCTTTGGCTTTCCCTTCTCGACAGCCTTCTTCAATTCCCCAAACACTGTTCTCCTCCGACCCTTCCTTGCCTGGAACTCTTCAATCTCCTCAACCGTAACGTCGACCATCTTCTTCCTCGCGCTCCCGCCCATGCTACCCGTGCTTCTACCAAACGCACTAGCCTCAGGTGTGAACGCCACAGATCTCCGCAAACTGCCGGGAGGTGTCTGGAAACGACTCCCTCTCAATCCCCCAGAATGGGAAGTACCAAACATCCCACTCATCCCCAGAGGATCACCATTGGCAGCCATGCGTGCACGAGGTGGTGTGCTGCGAGAAGGAGATCCCGTCAGCAGCTTACTACCACCCAGAGCGCTGACAAGATCATCTTCATAGTCGTCTCCAAGTCGAAGAGAGGCAATGCCATCCGGCAGACGCTTAATTTGACTCTCCAACAGATCCACGTCCCCACTTCGCTGCTCGACCATTGCAGTCATTTTGAGGATCGTCTTGGTGACTGCCTCAACTGTTGGTACAGGACCCTTCTGTGCTTCTTGAGTCTGAGCAGCTGCGATGTCGGCTCGCAGCAAAGCCAATTTGTTTTCAACATCAGTGAGCAAACTTTGTACCGCTTGAACCCCTTGTCGAAGCTCGGATTGCTGCGCTTGCAACTCCGCGCTCAATGGTGCTGCAGCCTGCATAGCTAGTTGTCCCGGATCAGTACGAGCGCTCAAGAATTTCCGCATTTCCGAGGTTTTGGTCTTGAGCTGCAAAATGGCTCTTTGCTGCTCGTCGAGCCCAGCGAGCAGAGCAGAAACCTTTTCAAGCTGACCTTCTGTCAGCTGCGCAGACACCTCATCTGTGATCCGTCCGATATCGGTCACATCGCCCAGGCACCATGTATCCTCCTCGTCGAGGTCTTCACGAGTACGATTGCCGGGCTTACGAAGCTGCACGTGGCCTTCTAAGAACTCTTCCAGACTTCTCGCATTCAAGCCAAGGACGTCAATCATAGAGTTGATATCACGATAGACTGTCTCAATTTGCCCACCGACACCGGGTTTGTCCACTGTTCCAGCATAATCCTGATGCGTGTAGAATGCCGGCAATTGCTTGGAAGGCACAAGCGGTTGGCTCAAAGTGTCCTTAACACGATCAGCGGCCTGATCTTCCAGCTCGCCGACGGTGGGCTCCCGAGGTTTTTCGGGGAGTGGCGCCGGTCGCTCGACTGGCTTGGCTGGAGGGATTGACGATGTCTTTATCTGGGAGGGAAGAGGTTGAAAGCTTGACGAGCGTGCGACTGGGGAGGTCACAGCACGGTGCGGGCTTGGTGAGCGAGGGCTGAGTGTAGGGCGATTCTGCGGTTGAGGAAACACAGGCCCTTTGGGAAGGCCAGCGGGCGTATAGCTCGTTTCGCGGGCGAGACCTGTAGGCTTCTCAACCTTCTTTGCGGGCGGCGTCACCCGGTGCATGAAGCTCTTGAGGTTGCTGGAAGGTTCCACTGGTTCAGTAGTCTCGTCTTCTTCAGGCTCCCACGRCCCTTCCTCCGAGTCCTCTTGCGACGCATCATCTTGGCTTCCTCCGTCCTCGCCCTCACTTCCTTCCTCTCCTTCCTCCTCATCGTCATCATCTTCACTTCCAAACCCACTGCCATCGTCAGAAGGGCCTTCTGAAGGCCGTCCTGAAGAGAATGTCTGGCTGTTGGTCACATCTACGGGAGGGCTTCCAGCAATGGGACTATCATCGTCGGCGAYCTCATTTTTGGCTTTTGTTGGCCCAAAGTCTGGCGGCAGTGGCATATCGTCGGGCACCTTGGGCTTAGTTGCGCCAAAGCCTGGCGGCATAGGCAGGTTGTCTGGCCATTTGTGATCGCTGGGGTCTGGCGGTAGCGGCGCGTCCTCGGGCACGGCCTGCGTTTCCTGCGACGACGCTTCGGGAATGTCCTTTAGCGAGGGCTCCTCTTCTGTTCCAGGCTCTGCCTTGACAACAGCTGATGGTGCATCAGGTTTCTTGTTTTCAGTACCGCCCAGGAAGTTGCTGCCGAATAGGCTTCCACCCGGATTCTTCGGCTTGGGTAGATCATCCTTAGCAGAGCCATCACCTTTGAATCCTGAACCGAGCTTGAATCCAGAGAACCCCGATAATCCAGATTCTGCACTTCCCGCTGTAGGCTCTCGCGAGAGTGCCGAAGATCCAGACCCAGCGTCAACCTTTCCAAAGCTCGAAAATGTCGAGCCAATGGTAGCTGTTGATCCTAAAGAATTCTCGTTGGTGAGTGTCGGCGCAGATGGCTTTCCAAACCCACTGAGCTGGCCACTCTGTCCGAGTGACGCAAATGCGCTCTTTCCGTCTCCATTACTTGTGGATGCAAATGGACTGGCGGTCTGATTGCCAGCCGCACCAAAGGGGCTCGGCTTTGTCGCAAAGGCGGTAAATCCGGAGGACTGAATTCCAGTCTTGCTCGACGCAAAGGGCGACTCAGCACCACTCTTCGGCCCGTTGCCACTTCCAGTACCCCAGATGCTACTCTTTGACGCTCCCATGCCTCCTACCTGTCCGAACGCGCTCCCACCTCCAACAGTCGACGGCTTTCCGAAGGCGGTTCCTGGCGTGGCTGCAGTTGCAGGTGAGCTGCCGATAGCTGACGGCTTGCCGAATGTTGATGCAGTCTGTCCGAGAGATGAGCCAAACAGACTGGTAGGCGGTGCAACCGGTGTGCCAAATGTCGAATTTCCAGATGGCGCAGGAGTCGCACCGAACATCGAAGTTCCAGGCGCCGGAGAGCTAGGCTGCTGACCAAAGGCAGATTGACCAAAGGCAGGTTTCGCGGTAGCAGCACCTGCCCATGGACTGGGTTTTTGCCCAAGCTGGGAAGCACCACCAAAGGCAGCGGCAGTGCCGAAGGCTGTCGAGCCAGTCGGAGGGGTGCTCACAGTGCCGCCAAAGACTGACGGGCCCGTGGAGGTTGCGGGCCTACTCGAAGCGCCGCCAAATGGTGTCGTGGATGCGGGTGTTTCCTGAACTTTGCTGACTCCTGGACCAAATGGCGACTGAGCTGCCAGCAGTCTCTCCCGTTGTTGCTTCTCTTCCGGCGTGTCTCCCCTTTGGTCTTCCGACGCATGCAATGAACTGTTGGCCATGGATATCGTCGCACTTGCATCCCTTACAACATCCGGCTGATAGTGCGTGTAATTGATATGAGGGGCCTCTTTGTTCACAATAGCAGGATAGGGGAATGGCCCACCATGTTCCGTCTGCTTTACGCTGGGTGCGTAGACCGTCCACCACATCTGCAGCACACCGTCGGTGTTCAAGACACATAGCGCAGGGAGAGGGAATGGTGAGTCCTCGATCGTATCACTCTCGTCAGGAATTGGGCGAGGCGCACATTCAATCGCAGAGAAATCCATTGCCATGCCCACAGCGGTGGTCTCCTCTGCTCCGTCGACGTAACTCATAGGCAGTGCAGCCTTGCACGWCTCATTCAAGTTAGCCAGGACAAATTCACCGTTTTGCTCCTTGAAGGCGGCGAGCACACCAATGTCCACGGTGGCAGACGATGTCATGATGAGCATGTCCTGCAGTGCTGGAGACCATTCACTCAATCTTTGAATGAAGTGGGCCGCAGGCAGTCGCTTGGGTTCCATACTCGCCATACAAGGGTCATCTTGCAATTGACGGAAGGTGAACGGCTGTCCCTTTTCGCGCTGTGCGATGAAGTAGACAGAGCTGTGGTTTGGCATTGGATCCTCCGGCTGATTCACTTGAGGTGTGTAGACGATGAGGAATTTGTGCGTCTCCAACCAGTAGATTGAGCTGGCGGGAAAGGCGAGGTTGGGCGCGTAGAAGCCATCATTTCCGGTTTGCTTGTATGTCGCAAGCTGAGGTGGCTGTGGAATACGATCCTTGACCTGACCCTGGAAGTCGATCTGTACACATGAGCTGTCTTCCAACCCGGCCACAATCTGCTTGCCCAGCTTCGACCAGGAGGCGCATTTGACGTTTTCATGAAAGACTTCACTCCCACTGGTACCTTTTAAAAGCGTCTTGCTTGCTAGATCTGCCAGCAGCAGCTGTCCGCTTTCGAGCACGATTCCGACGAAGCCGGTAAATTTGGCGTCTGGATTTGGGTTGGGAAGCAGCTGTCGAACATTCTGTCCCATTGTACCAATCTGGAAAGCGGATTGCTGGCTCCCATTTGTCACGGCATTCACATCGTAGCACGCGAGTCCACCTCCCTCTTCAGCGACAATCACAAGGCAGCTCTCGTCGGAGCTGAACGCCACATGTGACAGTCGAGGAACTTGCAGTTTGACTTCGGGTGTGTATGACTTCAGCGCTTGTTCGTCCTCCGGGATGCCTTTGCTTTCGTCCTTTTTCCTCCGTCGTGGAATGTATTGTGATCGTAGCGCTGCTGTGCCTGTAAGGAGGAGTCCATCTGGTCCAGCGGCGGCAAGAAGCTTCTTCCTCGACGCGATGGCCAGTAGAGATGCACCAGGACGCGGTAGACTGTCTGCTGGCCACGGCTGTGCAAACAGCTTCACCCTGTCACCTGGCTGTACGGCAGCTTCTGCAAACATGAGCTGCGGTGTGTCCATCTGCTGAATCTCAGGTCCCGCCTGCTCGCCACTCCCTGCCGCTGGCGCGTTGAGAGACGCATTGCCGAAGCCCCAGCTTGCCATTCTGGCGATGTTCCCATGCGTGGTTCGTATTGGATGTCGTGTTTATCAGATGAAGTCGTCGGAGTGTTGTCTGTCGAGCGCGCAGTATTGGAATGACTCGATTTCACAGTAAATAGAACGACGTCCTGCGGCCGATGTTTATGGGGAAGCTCCAGCAAATGCGATGCGATGTCCTTCAAAGATTCACTCGAGCTTCAACTGGCAGGCGCGTCGAAACTTAGGCGCGGCGGTCCGAAGTCCGAACGAGCGAGCTCTCAGCAGGCAGTGGAGAGCTGCGCAACCAACGTCCATCTCCATCTCCATCTCCATCGTCTCAGTCGCCATCACCGTCGCGCTTTTCACACTCCAACTCGATTGACATTGCATCACAACCGACGACAATTCAACCACCTTTGACACATCCTCGAACATACTCCATCATGCCGGGCTTCGACTTCAGCAACCACAACAGAAACAACATCCTCCACGCAAAGGGCGTACCACTCCCCAAAGCCACCAGCACCGGAACGACCATTGTAGGATGTCTATACAAAGGCGGCGTGGTCATTGCCGCTGATACCAGAGCGACAAGCGGTCCCATCGTTGCTGACAAGGTATGATGAACCATCTTCAGAGGCGACACGATCAATCGCTAATATAACCCTCCTTCCCTCAGAACTGCGAGAAGCTCCACTACATCTCTCCTCAGATCTGGTGTGCAGGCGCTGGAACTGCCGCTGATACCGAATTCACAACCGCCATCATCTCCTCCAACCTCGAACTCCATGCCCTCTCCACAGGCCGCAAGCCGCGCGTGGTCACCGTCATGACCCTCCTCAAACAACACCTGTTCCGGTATCAAGGACACATTGGCGCGTACCTCGTAGTCGCCGGATGCGATCCCACAGGTGCTCACCTCTTCACCGTCCATGCACACGGCTCCACCGACAAGCTCCCCTACGTCACCATGGGTTCCGGTTCCCTCGCCGCCATGTCCGTCTTCGAGACCTCTTGGAAGCAGGATCTCAGCCGTGAGGATGCAGTGAAGCYGTGCGCAGAGGCAATTCAGGCGGGTATCTGGAACGACTTGGGCAGTGGTAGCAACGTGGACGTGTGTGTCATCACACCAGAGAAGACGGAGCTGTTGAGGAACTACATCACACCCAACACGAGGGAGAAGAAGATGCGCGATTACAAGTTCGCACGTGGCACTACTGCTGTGTTGAATGAGAAGATCATCACACGGGAGCAAATCAGCAAGTACGTGACGGTGCAGGACATAGGCGATGGAGAGGCGGGTGTTGGCGAGAAGATGGATGTGTCATAGTCATGATGAGCATGCCTAGGGGGAGGATGTATCATAATGGCGTTCGGCGTTGCGCTCCCTGAGTGGGAGTGCTTGTACAAGGCGAGATTGTACTMGGTCAATGGGTAGCCAGCCTAGCTACCAAAATATGGTCTCTTTGCTGAAGAGATTTGACTATGCTTTGACCTCTGCTCTGATAGGTGATATTGTCAACGACGAGTTTCAGAACGGGTATGTGAATTCGTAGGCGACGTGCAGCCTTCATATCGCTATGATCTGCCCACCCACCATGCCATGCATCATCATCTATCATTAATGCCCAGGCTGTATGCTTTTCTGAAGCATCATGCGTCTTCTGCGAGCAGCCCCACACCTTCAGCTTGGGTATTGTCGAGAGAACTCTAGGCTTTACCGCCCTTCTTGCCTCCACGACCACCACGCGCAGCCTTCTGAGCAGCCTGCCTATCAAGTCGCTCCATCTGCGCCTTCTTCTCAGCATCCAGCAGATCCTTTTCCTGCTTCTCGGCGTCCTTTCGCGCAGCAGCCTCCTCGCGCTGCTGTCTCACAAGCTTTAACCGCTCCAAATCAGCACGTGCCTCGTCCGTCTWGCCCTCAGCATGCAATTTGGCATAACGCTCCTTCGCCTGCTGAGCCTGGAAAGCCTCGCGTTCACGTCTGCTCAGCTTAGATACATCCGTTTCCGCAGCCTTCTTCTTGGGGGCGGGGGCAGCATCCTTGTCTGGAGGCTGAGCAACAATAGTCGCCTGCTTGCGAGCAGCATTGCTATGGTTGGGGTTGGCAGGCATATCGTCGTCCTCCTCTGATTCCTCCTCGCTGCTGGTAGGCATGTCACCCGGTGCCGGTGCGCCCTGCTTCTTCTTCATGGCGGCCTCTTTCTTCGCTTTGGCGGCGGCCTTTCGCTKTTCACGACTCATTTCCTCTTGCTGGGGTTTGACTGGGCCATCATCGTCGCTGGACTCTTCCTCCGAGGAGTCTTCCTCTGAGGAATCATCTTCATCGACCGTGTTGCCGGGCTGCTGAGCCCACATGGACTGCTCCACGCCATCTGCGTCGAGTGGGCGAAGGTTCTTGCTAAAGTTGCGTCCACCTGGGAGCTATTAGCGTGCGATCGAGTACGATAATTTTGTAGAAAACCTACCTCCTCGCTTCGCTTTCGTGTACTTTCCGGCACGGGCTCTGGTGCTGCTGGACATGCTGGGCAGTCGGTCGTCTTTGTCTTTGTCTGTCGGTGTAGGAGTAGGAGAATGGTGGGGTATTCAATCGGCGGGGTCGTTGTGTTGAAGTTCAAGTTCGAGGCTTTGTCGAAGTTTGTAAAAGGCCGAGAGAAGCACCAGCAGATGGTGGTCACGGGTTGTATAATACTCCAAAATCTAGGATTCTCAGGATGTCGGAAGTGAAGTCGTCCAAATCGTCTCGTGAAAGTATGTACAATAATGCTTGGGCATCGATTCGTCCGTCTGCGCCCAATCCATCCGCGCCCCACATGATGACTGTACTCTCTTGGCATCAATCTCGCGACATGTCAAATCTTCACTCCGCTCCTCTCTTTGCTCCGTACATAAAACTACATGTTTTCCAATTCACTTGGCTTGCCGCTCTTGCTCCCACGGCAAACCGAGGGGAAATGGAGAACTAGATCGATGTAATTCAACCCGTCTGCTTACCTCTGCTTCCTTAGACGAAATGAGGGAGGAGCAAATATATTCGACGGTACAAACGAGATGAGGCGCAGCGAACCTTTCACCTGCTCTTCGTTTATTAGGTATTGCAGCGGCCGTCTCTATTATGAGCAGCAAGCAGTTCATGGCGCGGCTTGTGCTATGCTGCGTGCACTGTGGAGATGAGGCTGTCGAGGGTTCCGATGAAAACTCTGCGCGGAGAAAGAAACCAACTTGTGAAAAGGAGTATCACTTCATCTCTCCTCGTGCCACCACATGGAGGAAATCATCCAGGTCTGGCGTTCAAGCCTGTGCCGCAATGGTGCGATGCTGAGTGTTCGCCACTCGATCTTGAATGTGGTGAATATTTCGCGATGGAGGATGGCCGTAAGTTTACATTATAGGTCAATCTCAATCTCAAGCATGAATCCATCTCACATCATACATCTGGTAATCTATCTGTCGATGTCGACACTTGCACGCTGGCCATTGAAACACTCTCCTTCCGCTTCTGTCGCCGCGTAATGCAACTTACCTCACCACTCTCAATCTATCAAGTAGAACTGATGACCCATCCATCGCCCTCTCGCTCACCCTTCGCGTTGACACCTCCCCAAACAACCACACTGTTTCCACTGGCCATGAAATCGCAGCCAAAGAAAGCTCGCGGACCAGGGTGTACCTTGCCGGTGCCTTCCATCAGATCCTCCGGAGGCTGTACTTCAACTTCCTCCCAGCTGTGACTGCCCGTGTCGTACCCCAATTTCGAACGAATGGCATCTTTGATCGCAGAGGGTTTGATGGCATCGGAAAAGCTTGTTGTTAGCTTGACTTCCGGCTGGGATGAAGCTGCTTGGAACGTCCAGGCATCACTCCATTGCGTGGGATCTTCATTATCTTCTGGGGATGTTGCATCTGTCGATTGTGAGGTTTGACGCGCACCGAAGAAGTATAGGAGGTAGTTGCGTCCGTAGCCTGTAGTAATTGGCAAGAGTCCACCTCCAACGCGAGGCCGGGGACCTGGCGTGAGAGGGTTTGTGGGGAATGAGGTGCTCAACCACTCTGCTTTTGCCAGTTCTGGGATGTTGAGATTGAGAGAATGGACGTTGCTGCTCATGTTGTCCTCTCCATCAATCAAGTACAAAGTTCCGGCGCTCAATGTCGCGTTTGACGTCGATACTGGAGCACTGGGCAAGGCAGTCCAGACCTTTGATACATAATCAAAGTGCCATGCATCTTTGAGAGGCGTGCCATTTGCATCTATACCACCGTACAGGACAAGTTTGTTGTTTAAATTAAACAGCTTCGCGCCACTTCGCTGCAAGGGAGTCACATCAGACTTTTCAGACTTCAACGTCTCCCACGCAGACTTGGCGGTGTTGTACAGCCAGAAGAAGGGCTCATCGTCGACGAGCTTTCCAGTCTCGTCAACGCCGCCAAACATCGCCACGCAGACATTGAAATGACAGGCGGCATGCTTGGTACGAGCAGTTGCAACAGACCGGYCTTCCACATCGGGCACGGCTGGGACAACCGAGTAGTCCCGTTCGGGATTTTTGGAGGACTCCAAGGTCACAATGTGGATATCATTGCTTGCGAGCTTGCCGCTTGCTGTCTCGCCACCGAATATGTAGGCCTTGTTGCCAACGACGGTGCAGGTATGATCTGATCGTACTAATGAGAGTCTATCATTCTTGATTAGCTGCTGCTGCCCACACTTGGTCGCAGTACTGCACCTCGTGGCATCGTCTTTTGCGTTGGCAATCTGTTTGAACGTCGCCTTCAGACCGTTGGTCGGTTTCGCAATGGCATAAGCAGCCGCAGCTCCTTGCACGCTGGTGGAAACAATCTCTTCCGCCACTACAGCTCCGACTGCTACTTCGGCGGCCATTTTCGTGCTTTACCTAGGTAGTTCGTGGTTTAGTCGAGTGTTGGTGTGTAGCACAGCGAGCCAATGATGCATCGTCAAGAGAGTTTCTTAGCGTGTTTTTTTCGAAGTAATCCCTGCCACACAACGCGTCCACATGGCTCGMCCCATTCCATGACGCCACGGCGCCCACCGTCCTACAACAGACATGTGTTCAAGCAAAGCGCGATGAGACGTTGCGAGTACCTGCAGAGACTCTCACTAATATTGACATCTCCTGAATACCTATCATAGCTCTTTTAATCACGCGAAATGGTCGCGGCGTGGACGCGTCAATCTCGCTGGAAGCTTGTCCGAGCTCCCAGAGGAGGGAGCCTCATTTTTGCGACACACCGCAGTTCATTTATGACTAGTAGCATCGGCTTTTTCACGGTTTCCTGAAACTGCTGTAGGTAATCTTCGGTAGGACTAATTTTCAGCAGAGGTCGTAGTACTCGTAAAAAGGCTTGTTCGACGGTGCATTGACATCGCTACGTAAAATCATTTCCATTTACAGAAGTAGACATTGGTCCAACCGATAGGCCAATTTTGCCCCAAGTTGACAAGTTGAAAAGTTGAAAAGGCCGCGTGGGGCGATTTCCAGTAACGCCCGCTATCCTCGCACGTAAAGAAAATTCAGATTCGACAGGTTCAGAGCGGTGGGAGCGGCTCGAAATTGAGCCTCCTCCTCGCCGAAGCTCCGGGGGTCGGTGTGAAGGTGACAAATTCGCCAAAGTCGAATGAGGTGGTTCCAGGTGTGCTGAACCCGCCAAGGAAGCCGTTCCCGGTCATACCAGGCGTCATATGAGAAGATGGCAAGGGCGTAGATTTGCATGGTGGAGTCGTGGGAGGCGCCTGCAGGACAGGCTGGCGAGCGCTGCGCGAATGTCCAATCGCTGGCGAGGGTGACGTTGCGAGGTACATGAGCAGATCAGCGCCGTCATCTCCGCCTCCTGTTCGTGGAGTCCGTGACCAAGAGACATGCTGAACTTTGTTACTCATACGCATCTGTCGGTCCGGCGGTGGTGTGTGGGGTGGAGAAGATGTGATTCGTGACGAACTCAAGCGGTTTGACTTGCTCACTAYGAAGCTGGTAACGGGTAGATCGGCGTCGTCTTCCTCGCTGAATTCGGGCGAGTGCGGCTCGTCGGCGATGGTGGATCCTTCCGAAATGAACGATAGGTGCGATACTTGATGTGAGGGATATCGGGCATGTCGTGCAGAGCGCTTGATCGGCGAGGATTGTAGAGTCTTGATCGGCGAGGACACGGCCAGGCCTTGATTCTTCTTCCATGTGTTTTGGCGTTGTGCGGCGCCTCGTGTGCGTCTACCGGTAACGGCGGTGGTGACGGTGGGGTTTGAGATTTCAGATGGGCGAACACGCTTATGTCGGGAGACGCTACCTCCTGACCTTTGATAATCGTCTGAGAAGAGGGGCTCGGTGATGGGCGATGAGGCCATGCCAGCGCTGGAATGCAGCCGGCTGGATGTGGTGGATGCCGTGTCCGAAATGGTGTCGTTGCTGGACGCCGGTCGCTTTCTCCTCCTTAATCGCTCCTCCACCTGTGGCTCAATAGCATCCAGACTCAAGTTTTCCCATCCATTCTGAATCTTCACATTGGCGAGTGCAAGGCGGTCTTGCAGTGCACGGGTCATCTAGCAGATGAGCGGTTAGCGAGCTCCGCTTACACCATGGCTCCAAGTTCGTGCTCACCTTGGAGACTTGCACTCTCCGCATGACTTTGCTTGCAACCTCGTCTGGCCGCTCGAGTTGGAAAGATGCCGCCATTGTCGTGGTGTGGGTTGGTGGTGTACGGTGGTGAGATGTGCGTTGCAGCCGCACTGAGGAGGGGAAGGCAGGGCAATCTGAGCAAGCCACAATCAAGCAAAAGGCTGAGGCGGCAGCTGAAGTGATCCCCTTTGCACGTCGACGGGCGAGACTTGGGGAAGAGGCATGCAGATGCAGGAGATCCTCGTCAGGGAGTAGTTGTGAGAACGCAACGAGTCTTGCGTGGGAAAATGTTCGGTCGTGAGATTCGTGGTGTGAAGTTGGAAGCACTGTCCTGGGAATGCAATCGGCGATGTGATCTCGGATGGAACGACAACCTGGCCCGGACGAGAACTCTCTTATTCAGCGGTCTCATCAAACGTGAACGATGATCGAATGATAATGGCTATATATTATAACTGCATGCCTTTGCTGTTTGTACGAAGTAGGCGCTCGGCAGAAGTGTCCAGTTAGCGATTTTCAATGCTGTTGTGTGACGACGCTCTGATGTAGGTACCTGACGAACATTTCTTGCTGCGGAAACTAGTGGTACGGATCCAACATCTCAGGACAGGGCATCTCGACAGCCACAGATCGGACTTGCGTCCGCACAAAAGGGTCAATCAATGCCGTGCCGTCTACTTCCCATGGGCTACGACTGGCGAGAGACGGCTTCTTAATTCCAGCAAGATCTGAATTCTGTCCAGTATTGGAAGCCAAGTATACCACATCATCCGTCCCTCCGTCCCTCCACCCTCGTGGGAACAATGTTACGAGCTGAGCGACCCACGGGTTCGTTGCCCCTTCAACTCGAGCTTGGATACAGACATTCTGCACTGCCGACCACTCCCTTGCTTCGTGGTCGGAGTTGGTAATGGCAACAATTCTCTCATGAGCATTGCTACTCGCCCGGTATTACAAGCAACTGAAGAGGAGTGTCTCTTGAATCATGTCCCAGATGACTGATCAAACGGCGCTGTTGCAGGGATATGCATGACAAGCGCTCGCATGTTCGCGTGTGACACCTGCACTCCCACATGCGGCCACCCGACGGCAGAGGCTGGTTTATAGAAATGTCAAACTGTGTAACGACCCGAAGTGGTGACGATGTGGACGAGCGCTTTGTATTCCCAAGATTAGGTAGTGCGCCTTTCAAACAGACAGCGTCAAAGTAAAAATATCACGGGGCGGTAGTTGACGATGGCTGAGAGGCTAGTGCAGCTCTCCGTGATTTCCTTGCTTTCCAACACATCAAATCAAATGGTGGTGCAATCGTTTACGATCCTGGCATCGCTGTCACGCTGAACACTCCGCTGTAATCGACGAATCGGCAAATCCTGTACACCACACCCACCGTTCGCCGAAACAATTAGGTCGTTTGCTTGCTGCGGAGTTTGGTTGAAAGGTTGAGGACCTGGAAAGTAACGAGTGCTTGGCTTGGAAGACCTGATTGCGTACACATCGCCCGCTATCTTCGAAGATCCACATCCTGCAGGCAGGCTTTCATCGAGGAACTTAGCAGACCTTTCCAAACGCAAGACGCAGACGCAGAATTGTCTCTGATCTCTGGCACCTCCCAAACATTGTCATGTGAAAGTGTGGGACCTCTGACGCAAGCACAAAGTTTAAGTCGCATTGGAGTCGCAAGATCATCGGCATCAAGATATTGATATTATTGAGATACGACTGGCACCTGCCCAGTGCCCACCTTGCGCCGATCCAGGCCTTTGCCTGCTTTCCTACACCGTCGCCCCCGACCGCAGCGCGGTCACGCACAACGGCGACGGCCAACTCGAAAGACCGGTACGAAAATGCCGTCGTTCCTCAAGGACCACCTCAGCATTCGGCGCAAGTCCAAGACGTCGCTCAAGAACAAGGCCTCCGATGAGTCCAACAGTAGCTCGGAGAATGGCAGCGAGTTCCCACAACCGGGCACCTTGAGCACATCCTCTTCCACCCTGAACTTGGGCAAGAGATCGCCGTCCACAGCCCTGTCAGTGTCATCGCAGCGGGGCTCAAACTCCAACCTGGCGGGCATGAGCAGCGTCAATGGCGATGGCACTATGCTACCACCGCCAGTCCCAGCGAGGCCCCGAATGGTCAGTGGCCAGAGCAATCGCTACAGCATAAGTGTGCGTGGAGTTGCAGGCAGGTCGTTCGATACATAATGTCACTGACACACAATGCAGGGAATGCCTGCTCAGAACGTGGACCGCTCAACACCTGCGACATCGACGCTGGCACCACGTGTGCTTTCCATCTCGGACGGTTCCTGGGTACATCAGAAAGTGCTGCTCATCTACGGACAATGCGCCGACCCGACACAACCCATCGATGGACAGCTTACCGTCTGCCACCATCAGGACAACTTTCCACCAATTCAGTGGCCGGTCCACGACTCGCACTTCAAAGCGCTTGTATATCTCCAACCAGGGCCAAACAGATTGCGACTCGACTTTACTTCGCCCAAAATACCCACACCCAACACATCGATCCCGGCGCATTCGTCATGGATCAACATCAACTTTCTCCCCCTCATCGCATCCCCACCTCTGCAACTCTGCATACTAGTGGCGAAAGACTCACCCGAGACATACGATGCGGTCCCAGAGCGCGTTCAAAAGGAGGGCAATGGCTTGGCTACCGCCATCAAGAAATTTAGAATGTCGGCGTATCTCTGGCAGGCCTTCACTGCCGAGCAGATGAATCGCAATGGCTTTGGGAGGAGATGCTATCGATATGAAGAGGAGTGGCAGCCTGGGACGTTGACATGGAAGGATGCGGAAACTGGGCAAATGCGAAATGAGGCCAAGATTCACATCATCCGCATGAACAAGACTGTAAAGGAGATTCAGGATCTGGAAATTGCCCAACAGCATGGCCCGGCCACCAAAAAGGGAGATCTTTTCAGCATTGCGATGGACGCCGTTCGTGCGTACTTTGCACCACGACCTGRACAGCCGCAATACGTTTCTTGCTTGTATTTGGACGCCCATTGGGATAAGAAGGTGGGTGTGGTGAGAGGACATGCGGCATTGGGTGGCGGAGACGAACAGATCAAGCTTGCCATTTTTGGATCGCACTGCTTKCAATCCTACCCAACACACATCGAAGAGGTCGTTCCGGCATTCACAGACTGCACACGGACCAACACAGACTTTGTGGCCAACGACTCCAATGAGTGCGGATCAAGTTGGGAGGCCGCCAATATTGGGATTGGAGCACATCTTCACGAGACTGGTCATCTTCTTGGTTGTCCTCATCAGGAATCAGGAGTGATGCTGCGAGACTATGTCACATTAAATCGAACATTCACCACAAGGGAATCGTATGCTACCCGCACAAAAGCGCAAGGACAGCGGTTGTGTCTTCCAAAGGACGAGTGCGCGTGGCACAGACTGGACGCTCTGCGCTTCCGCTTCCATCCGACGTTCCGGCTTCCAACAGACCAGGCCGTTGCTGGAGACACCAGCGTGCAAGTGTGGACTGTTGAGAACTCGCAAGTCCTCGTCACGGCAGCCACTGGCGTTGCATGGATTGAGTTGTACCCTGAAGGTGACGACGTGTGCCATCACTGGATCGAGTATCTAGACCAGACCAATGCGTCAGCCGGCGCGCCGCGCCAAATTACATTGACGGAGAGCGTGTTGAAAGACAACCTGCCTGGTGAGAAACGCAAGCGGAAACTCAGCTTAAAGGTCTTCAGCTGTGGTGGTGGAGAGCACGAGGTCAAAGACTTCGCCCAGCTTATCGCATCAAACAACAAAATCAAGCTTCCTGACGGTCGTCCTGGATTCCGCAGCTCCAAACTTGGGTTTAGTCAAATGRAGGGATCACAACCGCAGGAGCATATTTTGGGAATTTGTGAGAAGAAGAATATTGATAGGAGAGTGAGACTTTTACTCAGCATCAAAATATACCATGGAGACTGCATGGATGGTATGGAGTTTGTGTATGAAGATGGCACCAGTGAGCTCTTTGGGAAGCGCGGCGGACGACCTGGAGGCAGCGAATTCGTGCTTGACCAGCGTCGAGGGGAGATGCTGATGGGATTCTATGTGAGGGCTGGATTCTGGATAGATGGGATCCAAATCATGACGACTATTGGGAGAAAGAGCGAGATGTATGGAAAGGCGACTGGCGGGTCCGGACACACACTTATCCCGCCTCGCGGCTACAGCATTGCAGGAGTTTATGGGAGTTGCGGAGCATGGTTGGACGGATTTGGGCTCATCATTACTCGGTGATTACCGCAGCAACGGACGATCTTCGAAAGCGGCGGCGCTCTCTTCAGGAGTCACCTCGGTCCAGGAGTCCAGGATACTTGTCTGAAAGAGACGTTCTAATATAGACAACGGAACAATCTAATAAATTTTGGCATCTTCGATACGATTTCCCCTGGCATGCTGGGTCGCTTTCACTTCCGATGGGGTGTAATCGTGGGTGCTGTAGTGTTATTTATGCCAGCATGTGTTAGTGTGTGAGCCAAAATCGCTTCTCTGCTGGATGGATGGAAGCACACCTATGAGACGCTTGAGGGTGATTGCTCCAATGACGTGCTCTTGAGATGGCGCAGGCGATTGCACGTGTACTGTTCGGTAACCCAAGCTTCGTAGCGAACTCGGACTATGGCATGAAATCATGTCAGTCTCTTAACGACTCCGTTTGCGTGAAAGTCGCTACTCATGGAGAGTCAATGTCTGGAAACGAAAAAGAAGGGCCCAGACCCCAGTAGACTTACGATACATACCGTACAAATTAAACAGTACACTGTACAACAAGCAAGTGTATTGAGCGTGGATCTACTGCCTGTACTGTTGATTTTGTGAATACAACGTCCTAGCTCAACATCGCCCATCGAGCATCAGATGGGCACTACCCCAACCCTAACCCTAACATCTCGAATCCAAACAACAACTTTCGACGAGTGTCACCAACCATCGACAAGGAATATTTTCGAACAAGCTCTGAAGGCTTGGGGATCTCATCATTCTGACGATGAGCCATGAATCGGGGGCGCGCGTCGCTCACACTGAAATCAAGCCTGATCATTGGAGCCAAGCAGCTACCAACATATCTTCGAACCGGTAGCCAAGCCGCATATGAGAACGCCATACCGATAGATGTGGCTATAAGAAGAGGGAAAGCAAGCCACCGACGAGTGCGGTCTGACGAATGGAGGAGCCACGACAGAGCAGTGAGCGGCCAAGCCGCATAAGGGAACACCATACCGGTAGATATGGCTATAAGAAGAGGACAAGCAAGCCACCGACGAGTGCGGTCTGACGAATGGACGAGCCACGACAGAGCAATGAGCGCATGCATGTGTGGCAGCGCTGCATGGCAGTACAAATCAAAGTGGTTTGGAAAGAAGGTGGGAATACTAACGTCCGATGGTCAACGATTTTGGCGATGTGTGTCCACCCGCCCGCGTGTCAATGTTGCTCGTTTGCTGCGATGGTTTGGTCGCTCTTAGCGCACTATTGGTGCATAGGTTGGCAGGGGATGTTGAGCCACAAGGGATGTACTTTAACCAGTCACATTTGCGAGGTGTGTATATGGAGGCGATGCCGGATGTTAGTCCAAATCTGATATGGGAAGTGACGGAGCGCGCGGATCGCCCTGTATGATTGGGAGGTACCCCGCCCTGGGCATTAGCTTCGGGACATTGTGGCTGTGGTGAATGATGCGGTCCGCACCCACAGCGTCTGTTTTCCGCCTGGTGCGGGAGGAGATCTACTCCGTATCGGTGTGCGTTGGCAGGAAAAGTGGATAGGCGAGGTCCAGGCGAAGGTCTTGGCGTTCCTTCGAGGCTGTTTAAACCCTGAAAGTCCGCAGACACCACCTGGCAACCTTGCAAGACCCGCGGTGCCCACGATGCGACAGCCTATTTGGAAAGCTCGTACAAGCATCGCGAGATGAGTCTCCGCATATCGGGCCTGTCAACGTCTGCCATGGGAAGCTGTCCGCCCCTGGTCGTCACATCCAATGCGTGTGGAAGATCGACACGTTCCGCCTCCCATCAGCGCGCGGATGCTCCCTCCTGCAGCCGGCATCGAACTACAGTTGCTGGCGTTTGCTGGACGATCCAGATTCCCCGGTGAAAATGTCAGTGAAACAGCCTTCCTTGTTGGAGGAATGATTTCCGTTGAAATCACCTGCGGGTCCTGCCWTGGTCATCCACAGATGTTCAACGGCATGTATCAACGAGCATCTGCTTCGGTTCTGCTGTTCCCGCGTTCAAAAGGCGCCAGACAGGCCATGATCCAGAGGAAGGTGCATGTTGAGCGTTCCCATCCGGCACCGAAATATCGTCTGCCCTAGCCGTGGTATCCACCACCCAACACGATCCATAAGTGACGATTTGCGTGACACATACAACGAAGTATACCCCTGGCAGCTGAACATAGCACAGGCGAGTCTCGCTAATGTTGAACTGCATGCCTGTCGAAACACTGCACGCTGTATACACATGTCACCCCAGACTGTACGATATCGAGACCTACTACAAATCCAACATGGTAAGAATCAATCGCCAATGCCAATCCACGTACCAAATGTGGAGTTTCTGCACAAAGCCAGAAAGAAACAGTCTGCTACGGGAAAAGCTACGGAACGATCCCAGGACGCGAACAGTCCCACCAAGAATGGCATTGACAGATGCGCGCTCCCTGTAAAAGTACCGCCGTCGCCACGCGCTACTTCGTACAAGGATCCGGATTCGGAAGTTGTATGGGCCTTCCGACTAGACCAAGGCGATAGCTGGAACGCATGAGCATCTCGTATGCCATCGTGTGACCTTTCCGGCATAACAGTCCCCTGCATCAGGTAGGCTCGAATGCTGTGTTCAACGAGGACCCGCCGTGGTTGGAAGAACGTCAGCAGGGTTCCTACTACGGCTGTGAAGAACAGATATATAAGGATGGTGCTTCGTCCTCGAAATCAAAGCATCAGCTCCAGCATCAACAGCCTCACCAACAGCACAACAACCAGCAACACTTATTCCTACACTCACTCCAACTCCTATCAAAATGCAGTTCTTCGTCATTGCCTTCGCCGCCCTGGCCGCTGCCAGCCCAATGGTCGCAGAGCGCGCTGCTGACCCAGCTGCCGTTGCCACCACCCCAACCTACGACAATGGAGGACACGACGGCGGCAACGGAGGACATGACGGCGGCAACGGCGGCGGCAACGGCGGCGGCAACACCGGAGGCAAGAAACAGTTCAAGTGCCCCGGTCTTTTGCAGACTCCCCAGTGCTGGTAAGTTTTGATGACTAGGCCACTTTTGTGAATCAGATCTTTGTACTCATCATTTGTCCAGCCAAACCGATATCCTCGACTTGGCCAGCCTCACCTGCGAGCCTCTCCGCGCCGACGTCTCCTCTCGCGACACCTTCAAGGCCGAGTGTGCCAAGACTGGTGCTACCGCCAACTGCTGTCTCCTCCCAGTCGTAAGTCTTTCCCTTGATTCTTTCAGACAGCAATACTGACATTACATAGCTCGGCCAGGCTCTCGTCTGCCAGAACGTCTAAGCTTGTCATCATGAACTTGCATGTCCTCGAAGCGCCCCCCAAATTTTCGACACGAAGAGACGCTTGATCCATGACAAGCGCAATGATTACTCACATGAGTGCGGGAACTTATATTATGAAAAATTGCTCTGCTTAAACGCCATTCTTTTCCATAAATTTTGACGGTTGTGCAGTCACTCGTTTGTACATAGCTGGCTGAAAGAAGAATTGGACTTTTTGCATTTGTCTACAGTAACTATAAGAAATTGTGCCTCGTTGATGATGCAGTGCCCAATTTTGTACTGCCAAGTCATCTTTCAAGGCACCCCTGTCTTTGACCGTGCCTCTTTATCCGAAGCTTTTTTTGAGTACGTTGAGATTGTGGAGACAGTAGTCCAACATGAACCACATTTTTGACGACAACAACAGAGGATTATTCTCCCCGTTAGTCCGGATTCTCAACCTATGCCTCGTACGCAACATGTGTCTCGCGGGGCATGAGGGTTACAGCCTCGCGATTCGTTCACTTACCGATGGATCTCCTGCAGAACTTCACATATATGGATACATTTGTTGGAATTACGATTTGGTTGAACATGGCATTTCCTCGGGCAATCATCACTCATGAGCATTGAGAGGATGCTCGCTCAACAACCAAACGACTTCAACGTGCTTACGTTGACTCTACTCCACCTACTCCCCGTCCTCAGAGCATGGAAGAACTGCAGAGGCCAATACACATGGTAGAGGAAGAACCATGGCATTGGATCCCACCACTCATATGTTCCATCCTTCCAGAAAGCGAGATGTGAGAGAAATCTGCCGATAGATTTTGCAAGATCTGCTGCACTCAAACTCCATGGCTTGGTAGTGATCAATGGTAACAGGGTTTCTGCGACCAAGTCGTGCCCGATCCAGTAATACTTTGCTGGTCGAACTGGTACTATGATATCTTCACCTTTCTGGCTTGTTGCTCCATTCTCCAGGACACTGAGATATCCCTTGACCATGTCCGGGGTGTTGTTGAAGAGGGCTACCGCGGTGTGAGCTCGTGGGTTGCACTCGATGGGATAGAGGACGATGTCTTCTGGATTGCTGGGAGAGTCATCCTCGACTAAAAAGTCGAACGAAAGGTGCCCGGTGAAGCCCACTCCACCATTCTTAGCGTAAGTCTCTGTGAAATTGAGCATTGCTTTGCTTAGAGCAAAGTCAGGGGAGAGTGCAGTGTAGTGCATAAGCAACTCTGCTGAAGGGCAGGCTACGAATGCTTTGACCTCCCCTCGGACCACCAACGAGTGTGTGCAGTATTCATTGCCTCTTACGAATTGTTGCAAGATCCAAGGAGACCTTTCAGAGATCTTGAGCCGAGAGATGTGTTGAAGAGTCTCTTCCGGGGTTGCTTTGGGAAACAATGTCATGTCTCCTCTAGCCGAATCATCCATTCCAATGGGTTTGAGAATGTACTTACGCTCCGACGGAGCATTGGCCAGCACTGCTGATACAGCATCATGGCTCTTGATGGTATGCGTGTCAGGCACGGTCAACCCAAAGCTTTTCGCTTGTGCAATGAAGGTATCCTTCTCGTGCAAAGTCTGCGTGGTGGAAACATCGAATTGTACCGCCCGGCAGTCGGTACGCTTCTCAACAATTTCCTTCGCCTCGCCGTCCTCAACAGCAGAAGCCACTCCAGAGCAGCTTACCCATAGTGCAACCTTTTCCCGCAGGATGATATCGAGAAGACCTTGGACATAGCGAGCGGATCCACCAGTTTCTGCAGTGGGCTTCTCCAGACGATAGAACTTGTCCAACGAAACCGACACCCTCCCTGGGACTGGAGTCCTTATCGGTTCGAAATCGGCTCCAATCACTCGTATTGCGTGGTTGGAATTATGGAAAAGTCTTGCGAGAGACAGTCYCTTGGTCATACCGACTCCAGTCACCAGAATGGTTGTGCATGGGTTTTGTTCAATCGGATTGTTCGTTCGGAGGTTTTTGTGATTGAGGATTGAAGATAGCTTGGATAGCCATTGGAGAACATAGCTGCCTGCCAGGATTGTAAGGTCCAAGGGTAGGAATGCGAGGCTCAGTAACAGCAAGGAGGCATTCTGAGCTACATGAGCAAGATGCGACGAGTTGCTGTCGAGCATGGCGGTCGTAACCTCGTGATTCAGATCAAATCTTGGAGGGAAGGAAAACCACGCAAGAAAGAATTTGGCATGTGCTTGCGGATCTCGCTCCGGCTTGCAGATTCCCTGCATGTGACAACCTTGGAATTCACATGCGGTTGACATTAGCGTGGGATGGTAAGCATAATTATGACGATGATATACTGTAAAGTGCCACTTGCTCCACTCCACTCACCACTCTTCAGGTTCTCCCCACCATTTGCACCCCTCCATTGGCGAATTCATCGTTGACTTAATAACTCTCGCTGGAATGCCTCTGTCTCAGTCTTCTTACTCTGGAGTATTGCAATAACCTCTTCGGATCGCCAGTGGCATCCGGTCCCCATCATCGCTTGGAGACGAGTGGGGTCTGCGTCGTCGACTGTGCCACCTGTACCTCTGGTGTTCGCGTGGAAAAGAAGCTCCGTCAAACTCTATCCCCGAGTGGTGAGCGAATGATGATGCTCGCTCGAGGTTATACCATACCATATCCAGATTCAGGTGAAATGGCCACGGTGCTTGCTTGTCAAAAGAGCGAGAAATCAACGCCTGTCCGGGAACAGCATGGCTCGATCGATGAAGGATGGATGCCGTTGCGCTTGTGCCTCGGAGGCCCCTCCACGAAGTTTCATCACCCCCCCGCCAGATCTGTCTGATCAGCATTGGTATGGCGTTAGATCTTGGTACCAGAATGCACTAACGCCTGTCTCCACGCCCGGAACCCGATTCCAGTTCCATTGAATTCCCCTTGCGGCGCTACGCACGTCTTTGACGCGAAAGTGCCCCGCCATTGAACCTTCGTACGACTGCAAAACACGTCTTCCAATGCTTTTGAGTGGTTCCCGGTCGTGGACGACATCACCACTACCTCTGTCGAGACCATTATGCGCTCTCTTCAGGTTTAGTCGCCAGATTTAGTTGGCAATGCATTGCGAGTCTTTCCGTGAAGAGTGAGTGGGTCATTCGGTTGCGAGCTCTCCAAGGCACAGCTTGACCCATAAATTGCTCCATTCCTGCTCGTTTCTTGCTCCTGCACGCACCCACGACACACTCCACCTCTCAACCTCTCAGAAAATCATTCAACACTTCAGCCACCATGTCTGACATGAAAGCAACCGTCGAGGAGACGCCTCAGGGATTCCAGGTCGTCGGATACGAGAAGATCGAGTATGGCTTCAYCTTCATCGACAACATCTTTGATGTTGAGAAGCCGGAGCTTGCAGACTGCTACAAGAAATGGGGGAGGGCGTTGGCAGTCATGGACTCCAACATCTTCGAGGTCTACGGAGAACGTGTGCAAAAGTACTTTGACCACTACAAGCTCGACCTCTCGGTTCACAAGACCATGATTGGCGAAAAGGCCAAGAGCCTTGATACATTCTCCAGCATCGTTGACTCGATGACTACCTTTGGAATTATCCGAAAGGTACTGAGGATGCGGATGAAGAGTAGATGAAAATATGCTAACACACACCAGGAGCCCGTCCTCGTTATTGGTGGTGGCCTTGTCACGGATGTTGCTGGGTAAAAGATATCAATCGCCAATGAGGACCATAAGGCACTCTGGCCCATTCTCTCATCGTAGCGAAGCTAACTTTTGATTACAGATTCGCCTGCGCCGCATACCGCAGGAACACCAACTTCATTCGTATCCCCACGACTGTCATTGGCTTGATCGATGCATCCGTCTCTATCAAGGTTGCCGTCAACTACGGCAACTACAAGAACCGCCTGGGAGCATACCATGCACCAATGTGAGCTTTAAATTCGTATGTCGTTGCCATGGTCTTCTGACACACCTCTAGGCACACCTTCCTCGACTTCACCTTCCTCCGCACTCTGCCAGAAGCACAGATCCGCAATGGATTCGCCGAGTTGATCAAGATCTCCTCGTGTGCTCATCTGCCAACTTTTGACTTGCTGGACAAGTACTGCGAGCAGCTTATTTCAACCGGTTTCGGTCGATCAGACGCTGCCTCGAGCGAGGTACGCAAGGCTGCCGACACGWTCAACCGTGCTGGTATCCACGAGATGTTGAAGTTGGAGACACCAAACTTGCACGAGATTGGTCTTGATCGTGTCATTGCCTACGGCCACACGTAAGTCGCTAGCATCGTCAAGTACAGATTACACGCTAATGGTTCTGCAGATGGTCCCCACTTCACRAGCTGGTGCCAACAGTTCCCCTCAGACACGGTCATGCTATCTCAAGTATGTGGGGCTCTTATCTTTGCAAATCACAATTACCTGAAGTGCTAACTTCAAATTCTTAGTCGACATGGCATACTCTGCCACACTCGCGTACGAGCGTGGTAACCTGCCCGAGCAGGACTACAAGAGACTGCTCAACCTATTCTCCCGAGCCGGTCTCTCCATGGACCACGCCGACTTCAACGAAGACATCCTCGACAAGGCTACACAGGCCATCCTCAAGACCCGTGATGGTAAGCTCAGAGCTGCCATCCCTGCTCCTCTGGGTGACTGTGTATTCCTCAACGATGTCACCCGCGAGGAGATGAACGCCGCTCTGCGGAAGCACAAGGAGGTTGTCAAGAACTACCCACGCAATGGCTTGGGACTCGAGGCATTCGTTGACGCCAGCGACACTGGTTACACACAGAACGAGAAGCCTGTTGAATCCAACGGCGCAATCAGCAACGGGCTGAAGAAGATCAATGTGCTCAACGACGATGCGGCTGCGGTTGCCAACGGACACACCGCCAATGGCCACACCAACGGTACCAATGGTACCTCTGCCAGTGTCAAGGCTGCCACAAAGCACGCTTCTGGTCCAGAGGGTGTTGATGGCCTTCAGAACGGACATGACTGTTGCTGAGTCTGAGTCAAAAGATGTTAGGAGACCAAAAATACTTGGTTTAAAATAGATATTCGATATAGGACTTGAATGATTTACGTTTCCTTCGAAAATTGACACTTCGCCGTAACACGCTTCAATGCCAGATGTGTTTTATCATTTTACCTGCTGAGCCTTGACATCGCATGCATCTCTGACGAGTCAATGATGTCAGTATGGTAATCGTTACCCGCATAATTGAATCAGTTGTGGGCGTCGTGCTGTGCTAGATTTGTTGTATAACCTTTTGCAGCGCCCACGCGTACCAACCAGTACTTTGTCAGCATTATTACCTCTTTGTGTTCGCTTATGGCCTCAACAACCACATCCAAGGCCAGTCTGCCATCATACACACCAAAAATGACGTCCGTGAGCGAAAACTACTTCASCTGCAACCTGGGCCAAGCAGATGTCTATGGCCGCGATGCAGAATTCACCAATATCAGCAACTTCGTCGGCAGACAAGCCCAGACCCATCCCACCCTGCCGGCCGTGGGATATTTTGAACCTGGGAAAGACATACTGAACCCCAAGATTCTCACCTTTAGAGATGTTCACCAGAAATCCAACCAAATGGCAGAGTCCATCTCCCTGCTTGAGATCCCTCAAGGCCAAGTGGTGGCACTCATGGTGCGAAATCTACCCGATTTCCTCTTTGCGTTCCTAGCGTTGATCAGCATTGGGTCACCGGTGCTGCTCATAGCACCACAGTGTACGCTAAAGGCGTCTGCACAACTTTGCAAACAGTGTGATGCTTCTATGCTCTTCCAACAAGATAGCCCTCTGGAGTTGCTTCAAAGCTACGAGGACGCCGCATCAGAGGTTGATTATCGTCTTAATTGCTACAAGTTGTCCAACAGAACGGATACAACCACAACCCGAGAGTCTCTCTTCCGGGAAACTCCTGATGATACGGCATATCTCTTTCATACATCAGGTACATCGACTGGAGTTCCCAAGCCTATCCCACAGACACACAAAGCCGGCGCTGGAGTTCAGCACCATTTCGATGGAACGAAGTCCGCTACGTTCACGACAACTCCACTATATCATGGAGGTATGGCAGATCTTTTCCGTGCGTGGACAAGCGATGCCTTGATCTGGCTGTTCCCAGGAGACCATCTACCAATTACTCAAAAGAACGTGGTGAAATGTCTTGACATCGCCAGACAAACTGTCAAAGACAACGGAATGCCACCAGTCCGATACTTCTCATCGGTTCCATACGTGCTACAAAGCATGTCTTCGGACTCGACGGCACTCGAACACTTGTTAAGCATGGAAATCGTGGGTGTTGGCGGAGCAGCTCYCCCAAGTGAAGTTGGGGACGAATTGGTGAGAAAAGGGATAAACCTCATCTCCCGCTTCGGTAGTGCTGAGTGTGGATTCCTCATGTCTTCACACAGAGACTATGCCAACGATCCAGATTGGCAATATCTACGGCCCAAGGAAGGTGGGAATCATCTCCGATTCGAGCCACGAGAGGACGGTCTCTACGAACTTGTTGTACTGTCAACTTGGCCGTTCATGGCTAAACGTAATCGGGAAGATGGCTCGTTTGCAACATCAGATCTCTTTGAACCTCACAAGGAGAAGGAAAATGCATGGAAATATCATTCGCGGGCAGACTCACAATTGACACTCATCACGGGGAAGAAGTTCGATCCAGCTCCTGTCGAGTCCGCAGTGGCGGCTTCATCTCGATTTCTCAAAGATGTCCTGGTCTTTGGTAATGATCGACCATTCCCTGGCGCTCTCATCTTTCGTTCTCAAGATAGTTCAGAATTTTCCGATGAAAGACTTCTTGACGAGGTTTGGCCAGCCATGGAGAAGCTGAATGCCGAAAGTCAGAGCCATACTCGCATATCACGTAATATGCTGTTCCCCATGTCGTATGACGAACAGCCTATGGAGAAAAGTAGCAAAGGGACCCTCATTCGCCGCAAGGCTGAGGAACGATACAAGCAGCAAATTGACCGAGCATATGCGAGCTCTACTGAAGCCAAAGATGTTCCCGACGAGCATTTGCTTGAGTACATCCGAAGTATTGTTCAATCTACCACGAGCTCCTCGAAAAAGACAGAGGTCCCACTGGATGAGACGACGGATCTATTCGCACATGGTGTGGACTCCATTGCATCTATCCAAATAAGAAGTAGACTCCGAGGTCTCCTTCCTAAAGATGCAGATCCTCTACCGGCTACCATTGTTGAGGATAGTGGAACCATTGAGAAGCTCAGCAAGACTATCATTGACATGCGTCATGGCAAGCAGAGTGAAAGTGACATTGAGACACAAATTGAAGTCATGCAACAGCTTGTGTCCGAATACAGCGTTTTGCACAAGCCTACCATAAGATCAGACGATACTAGACCTCAACGAAACGAGCAACAAAAGAAGACAATTCTACTCACCGGCTCAACCGGTAGTCTCGGGAGTAACCTTCTCTCTCAGCTCCTCTCCTCTACAGACGTCGAACATATCCATCTACTTATTAGGGGCTCGAGCCCCAAAGAATCCAAACAAAGAATCATGGAAAGCCTTCGATCTCGCGAGCTAGAACTACCCGCCAATTTCGACACCATGGTGAGCATACACCCTTACGTACTCTCAGACCTTCGATTGGGTCTCAGCGAAGCCTCATACGAAATTCTAGTAAAAGACATCAACCTCATCTTCCACCTCGCATGGTCTGTGAATTTTCTCATGCCGCTTCGGGGATTCCGCCAGCATTTCGGGGGATTGCGAACATTACTCAGTTTGGCATCCGAGCACGCTCAATACTCCGAAGATGGAAAAGGGGCTAGAGTCATTTTCTGTTCCAGTACCGCATCCGTCGCTTCTTTCCAAGAACAGCATCCCAACATTCCTATCCCAGAAGAGATTATATCAGATCCAAATGTCAGCGGTTCGATCGGCTACTCTCGCTCAAAATGGGTGGCGGAACTTATCTGCTCAGAAGTTTCAAAGACGTATCCTGAGCTTGCAGGCTTGGTTGATGTTGTCAGGGTGGGCCAAGTTAGTGGACATTCGAAGACTGGAGTCTGGAATGCAAGTGAGGCATACCCATTACTGCTTTCAAGCGCAGCAGTAACTGGATGTCTACCTGAGCTTGATAATGAAGAACTCGCTTGGCTTCCGGTGGACAAGGCTGCTGAAGCTTTCGTCCAACTCGCCGTTTCTGAAAGTCCATCGAAAGATGATGGCAGAGATTCAAAGGATTTGATACACGTCTATTACTTACTGAACCCAGAACTCAAGACAGCTTGGAATTCTATAATCTCCTGGATTCAGCATTCCGAGGATTTCACTATCGTGCCCGTGCAAGAATGGCTGCACAAATTGGAACAACTTCGAAGTTTAGGAGTCGAAAATGATGAAAAACAACAACATCCATGCTTGAAACTGCTGGATTTCTGGAGAGCAAGTTATGGGAGAAAGGACGGAGAAACGCAGACTCCGAAAAAAATTCAAGATGACAGTTTATTGCCGGCCGCTGGGTGTGAGTACGCAATGACAAAGTCAAAACTTGCCATGCCGGTTTTGACTTCGCTGGAACCTTTGGAGGAGAAGTATATTGGGAGGCTTTGGAGTTGGATTGGGCGGAACTTGTAGATAACTAATCGGTACGATGTTGATTTCTCTTCTCGCGGAGTCGACAATTGAAAGCTCGAGATTGTGTTACTTTTGATGCACATCGTAGTGGCCAAGGGGCGAATACTAGTGTCTCTGATCGAAGACTGTCAACATGAATCGGCTATTCGTAGCGATATTCATATGCCGTTGCAGGAAGTGTATTTTGCATGCAAGATGACGCAATTGGCATGCCAACACATCAGTGGAAGACCCCTTTCCGATGCACGGATTAGCCGTCGGCTGAGTGGTGGCGCTGAGGCAGCGTTCATGAAGCGCTGCTCGAAGCCTACACCGCGTGTGTGACACGCTGTCAAATGTATTGAAACGTGTGACGAAAATCTTCGAAATGGTGGGAAGACAGTCAAATCATAATGGAAGATATCAGGAGCAAAGATGATCAAGGATTTGCAACCTTTCATTCGAAGTATCTATGTACAGCTAATTTTAATTCCCCATCGTTTCATTCATCATCATACAAAATCGTGTCTAGAACTTGCGAGTAGGGTGGTCATCCTTGGAGATGGCACCTGGGTAAGGCTTGCCATACTGAGCAACACTCTTTCCCTTGGGAAGGTTAGGGCACTTGCCACCAGCGGTGAGAGGTGCAAGCGCTGGCACAAGCATGGTGTCGATGAGACCCATGAGCTGAGTGAGGACTGCGCCGCTGGCAACATTGGAGAGGACGGATGGTGCGTCGGCCTGGATCATCTGGGAGATGAAGCAGCCGAGACGGTCTGGGTCGGAGAGATCGGTGGCACTATTGACGAGGCCGCCGGAGATGTCGCCAAGGTTGACTCCGCTGAAGGAGTTGACCTCACCGGTGTTTCCTCCAACTTGGCAGTTGGATGGGTAGGAAGCGCACTGCTGGCCGGTGGAGATGAGGATGTCGGTGAGGGTCCAAGCATCGTCACGTGCGCGGCGGTACCAGTTCTAAGAAACAGTTAGCGATGAGTGAAGAGAAAATCACACTGTGATACATACCTCAGGGATGCGCTCTTGTCCAGGGGTGAAGATGAGCTCGCCATTTGGTCCGTCGGTGTAAGACCACATGGACTTGAAAAGCTCCTGGGTCATGAAACCACGTGGGTACTCGGCAGAGTGGTTGGCCAACAKCTCATATGCGAACATGTGAGCTCCGAAGGTGAATGCAACACCAGCGTAGGCAGGGCTGTAGTAGTTGGGGTTGGTGGCGATGGAGTACTGCTTGCGGTTGTACTGGTGCTCAGCAAGCACCTGAGGAGTGATCATGCCGTTGGCCTTCTGGTCGGCAAGGTCGAACAGCTCCCGGAGGAACTTGGGGTAACTGCGGCAATTGGAGTTCATGCCGTCAACACCCAAGTAATCACCACGAGTGATCGATGCATCACCCTCGGTCTTCAAGTGAGCAGCTCCTCCACAGATACCGCTTGCGGATCCGAGAAGGGCTCCAAGAGGGCCGAGCGAGTTGAGGTTGGAGTCCTTAGGACGGCCGATTGCCCACTGACTGGAGATTGGGTCTCCGTCAAAGAACATGGTAGCGGTCTGTAGGAAAATGGTCGCGGTCTTGTCGAGGCTGAAGGCTTCCCACAGTCCGGTGTTGATAGCCTCAGCAGTCATGATTCCTGAGCGAGGAATGTAGCCGTGGTTCGCGGCAGCGTTGAGACCGGCGCAAGGACCACGAATATCGTTCTCGCCAGGTACTCTGAACTCATGCTCTCCGGACACATCAAGGCGCTGTGCCTCTGCGTCGAACTTGTTGTAGAGGGCGTGCTGAGGAGCACCGGGGAACTCTGGGAAGGGAGCTAGGGCTGGGATACGCTCTGCGATCTCCCTCTCCTTGACCATCTGGGCGATGTGAGGGAAAGCCGCAACTCCATTGAGGAGAAGGGCGGCGGAAAGAAGTGAGGAAACCATGGTGATTGATGGTTTGCGAATAATGTTTGGAGGATGGTAGGATCTTCACGAGGCCAGGATCTATGTTATATGATTCTCCTTCCACGCGAACGTCAGCGCCTTGCGAGTTGCCACCCCTGCTGTCGCCGTGATCGACAACGCGGGGTCAGCGTTGTGGTGAGTGTTTGCGCTTGCAGAGTAGTGGAAATATTATAATGGCAGGAATCGGATTGGCTGCTTGATTTACCGCCTAGCGGGCGAATAGGCACAAAAGCGTCAAGTATGGAGCTAGAGAATCTCGCCGTGCGCCATTCTTTCGCCTATTGCGGTTTTCCTGCCAAATAGAGTTAAGGAAGATCCACACTTCATTCTTTAGCGTCGAATATTGCCATGCAGGGCAATGTCAGCGGCGCTTTTTGCTAGAGACTGGAAAAATACCACCAGAATGTGCATTGCCTGTCGTGAATGGAGAGAGGGATAGAAAGGTAGGCACTCAGTAGCAATGTGCCCAGATCTGCAACGCTGGTGGTTTTGGCGGACAGTAAACAGCGTGTCAAAGTGCCATGATGTCGAGATGCTCGTCACGGAAGGATTCCAAACCGGACCCTGTCTAGCTGGTTGAGATGTTGATGAGAGACATCTTCCGGGATCCGAGAGGCGTTTTTCGGACGTCTGGAGCAACTGGTCTTCCGCGACCAAGCCAAATATGTGGCTTGGGGACCCCAGATCTACACTGGCTTTAGCCAGATGTAGTCGGCAAACGTTTGTTGGGCGACCGCACTCCACCAAATTTCTCTGCTTCCAACGCGTAGGCGTGAGGCTTCTGGCAAATTCGCGGTGCGTGAGTTGTAATCAACGTGAAGTCGCCGAGCGCTGGCCGAGACCAACTTGTTTCTTGATCTTGTTGGTATACTCGAAAGTCGAGACCYGTCTCGCCCGGCGCCACACAATCTTCATCGTTATTGCTTGTATATTCAAATGACAGAAACCAGAGGCATGTCTGATGACCGGTGCCGTCATTTCGATGTACTGTACTTTTCGACTTGGATACCGTACCTGGCAGATTGCTGCCCTAGAAAATTTGTCGTGACTGACGTTGTGTCGATCTGAACTCCACCTACGACAGTTGTACAACTGCCGGGTGCCGTATGCATCGATGCGCACATCGATGCGCACATAGGTGAAATGCTGTAGATGAGACATCGTCATCGTGCAGTCACGTCCTCTTTCCCTGCAAGAAGATGTATACTACTCCGTGGTATGCTGCTGGATATTGGTCTCGTGCTTTGCGCACGAGGCACAGGGTCTAGGTCTTCGTGGAGGAGGCATTCTCCGTCCAAGCGTCAAACTTGTGCAGCTTCCACGCACCGGGCACGTCGCTGCGGAGACGACTAAATTAGAGCGACGACTCAGTGCTTTGTTTTCTGCTTCAGCGGATTGGCCAGAGGTCTTGCTGGGCTGAAGCTCGAGTGGAAGTCCCCGGACTGACCAATTTGCTTCGATGCCTGGAGGCTGGAGCAACTAACAGGCCCGAGTTTCGTCTGCGATATCACTCGGCAAATCTCATTCGTTGTGAAGTTGTGTAGTCTTTTTGTCGCGTGGTTTAGGAACGGTGAAGTGTTCAGTAGTGCATGGTGCTCATGTGGTAGACAAACACACCAACTCACGAGGTGGCGAAGCGGCAGAAAAGTACCGCTCCGTCTTCCGCCTTTGGGCCGTTTTTGTTCCGCGGATTGCGAACGTCGACCGTGACTCGCAAAAGATGATACCAATTTGTCCACTCAAATTCGCTCCTCACCGTCCAAAACGGAAGCGGAGGGAGATAACTTCTCGAAACCCCGAAGGCCGTTGATCGTGGCGAGCTCTGCCGTGAGGGCTTGAGTTTCTGAATCGAAACACATTCGCAGATACCCTGAAATGTCAGGAATGACTGCTAATGCTTACTGCGTCGAGATACATTCGGACATGGAAGGCGGGACGCGAAAGCAGGAAGTGGTGGCAGGGTCGCTGTTGCAAGTCGAGGCAAGGTATGCGCTCATGCGGCAGAGCTGCTTTGATCTTCTGTCATAATCCGGAACAGCTTGAGCAGATCGCTGACGTTCGGACGCTGCTCATTACGACGGTGTGATGAGATCATATCACTCTCAAGTACTTCCATAGCGGCCCTTCCCATCTCCAGACAGCCAAACGCACGATTGGAGCACATGTCAATCCCATGTAGCCGAAATGCGTCTGCATCTCGAGAACATCCGCCTCTTGTCAAGGTTGCAGACCGATGGCAGTAGTCGGTGCTGCAGGCAAGCCCAAGTCAGCTCGATTGCCCCGATGATCGCCAATTGAGAGCTTACTCTGGCTGTAGACCATACATGCTGCAACGGCCAATGCATTGGAACACGAGCGCCCGCAACTTGTACACATTCTCGCACCCTATTGTGTCTGCCCACCTTTGGAGGTCTTGCTCGGTGCAATCATTGCGGATGTGGAACGTTGCATTATCCAAAAATATTGGCTTTGCTTCGCGTCTCGTCTGAGCGTTTATGGCAAGCAGGGCAGTCCCGTTCCATCGTATCGGCGGTGAATAGCTGCTGTTTTGGCGATGCCGGAGATTGACGTGCTCCTCGGCGAGAGCGAACTCGARAATCGCTATACGGAGCTCAGTAGGCAATCCCAGAAGACTGCAGCGTGGATGCTGAGGCATGTCATCCAGTCATGATGCTAGACATGCCATGTCTGTACGATGATGTCGTGGGTGAAGAAGCGGGAGTGAATGCTCGGCTCCTCCCGAAAGCCTGGTCCGTGCTGATGTCGTCGGCCGACTACGGTGCGTTTTTACGGAGATCTCTGCAACAAAATATTTTTAGCACACTACGTACGCTTTAGGCCTTCGCGTCCCCACCTCCTTCGAATCTAGCTACACTAAGACGTTAGCGGTATTAATGTAATATTATACGGAGTATCGCGATACAGTTTTTTTACCTACTATATAGTTATAATACTAGCATCTAATTCTATAAAGTAGTAACTCTTAAAGACCGCTTATATAGTATCTTCTCGTACTACGTATAGAGAGACATAATAGGCAAAGGAAAAGCTTAAACGCGCCCGTATAATAACGAAACTATAGGTTATACTATAGTATTAAGTTATCCGTTAAGATATAAACGCCGTTTATAACTAAGTGCTTTTAAAACTTCCCGAAACCTCCTTTAACTATCTAGTATATCCTTATTCTTTTGTTCTACGACGCTTAGATCGATTTCGCGTATAATTTGCTAGAGGTTAGCTAGCATTATTAGAATAGGACGAAACCTTCGAGATCGTTCGCTTATAGCTGCTACTAAGGATACTAGGCTGTTCCCTATTATCTACTAGAGGTTCGGCCTTAATTTCTAGCTCCTATTTTACCTAGTAATATATTAGTAGTGCTTTCGGCTTTATATACGGGCTATATATATATAGTAAAGAATTTAGATATCGAAGGTAATAACTCGTTATTACTCTCGTTACTCTTATCGTCTTACGTAGGAGCTTCGGGTCCTCTAATATCGTCCTATAATAATTAGCGTTTTCCTATTATACGCGTACTACATTATACGGAGCGATAAAGTATATACCTATAGCTTTAGCTTTACTAATAGCTCCTTTACCTCTAGCTTAACCTTAACCTTTACCTTTAGCTCCTTCTTCGGCTTCTTAAGGGCTATAAGTGCTTTCGTAATCTTTACGTTAATACCGGCCTCGTATAATGTATCTACTTTAGGTTTAGCCTTTAAACGTCGCTTAAAGATAAGGAATACCTTATACTACTTCCGAGCGGGGTTACCCTTTATATTAATTTTATTTAGAAAGATACGGCTTAGCTTCCTGTCCTTAAACTCGTCTAATAGAGGCTAGATAGGGCTATTACGGTTATTATACGACTAGATTAGGTACATTCGCGTATTGTCCTTATACTTAATCTCCTTTGTAATTAGTAAATCGGAGCCGAAGTATTTAACTACGGCTATTATATCTATAATAGCATAGTCTCTAATAGTAATGCCTACGGGAGTCCCTAGTATATTATTAGCGATTATACGGAGTAAGAATAGGTATATAACGCCCTATATACTATTAAGAGCGTTGTTCTTATTTACCTTTCTATAAGGGCCGTATAAGAGCCCTTATAATAACAGGATTAATAGAGGTAGCTAGATTAACTAACCTTAGARAAGGGAGTGCAATATAACCTAACTGCTTAGCGTAGGCTTAGCGTATATATAACTCCTACGCATAGCGCACATTTAACCTATAAGAATTAGTCTTATCTCTAATCG